TGATCTTTAAAGCAATTTCCACCATGGCTGTGCATTGAAATTCTATGGGAACAAGATTGTTGCAGGTGCAAGAGTCACCCAGAAAGGATCAGGTATTGGCTTTATATGTCAAGCATTGACATCTTCATTCAAGGTTTTAAATTCTGTTTTCTATAAAAAGTTAATTCGGGGCTGAGTTGTAGCTCAGTTGGGAGAGTGCTTGTCTAGCATGTATGAAACCCTAGGTTCAAATCCTAGCATTACATAAAATTTAATGTGGTGGCATATGCCCATAACTCCAACACTAGGGAGGTAGAGACTGGAGGATCAGAAGTTCAAGGTCATTCAGGAGACCCTGTTTAGAGAAATAAACAAAAAAGTTAATTCTCTTAAACCTGTCAATGCCATTTTAGATTATGTTTCTTATAAAGTGTCAGAGCAAATGCTTAAGTGCAAGAGTTTGAGGCCAGGCTAGGCAACATGGTAAGACCCCATCCTTTAGGAAGGCAGAAAGGAAAGACGGGAGGGAGGGAGGAAGGGAGGGAGAGAGGGAGGGAGGGAGGGAGAAAACAAAGAAAAAAGGACCTTTAGAAAGGCCAGAGTGAGAATCTTCTTCATTTGTGTATCCCCAGAACCTAATTTAACATCTGTAGACATTTTTTACTTCCAATTGGAAAATGATTAAACCACATCTCTCACAATGATAGGATCTTAACAGAACACTCACCTAAATCTATCTCCTGGTTATTGGTGAATTGAACACTTACCTGCTAGGCTTTGAGATAACAAAAGCAGCACACTCTGATTCTACAGTTTGAGATTTTTGGCAGATGTTCTAGGACAAAGAATGAGAAATTGTATCTGACCTCTCCTAGCCTGGATCTGTTTCCAAGTCCTGGCACAGGCCGCATGACTGGGATGGATTAGGCCAGGGCAGCAAGATTGAGGCACTGAAGCTTTGCTCACTGCTTCGAAATTGAACTTGACTCTCTCACTCCTGAGTAATCACCACCCATTACCTAGTTAGTTTTGCCCTTTGTGCACCTGGCCCACTGATGTGCCAGTCTGGACCAATTTTCTTGCTCTGACTTGTGTTTTACAGTTTATGTTTAGAGGACTTGGCCATGCAACCCGTTATGAATTTCCTCTTAGTTGAGGTCTGTTGTCAGGATATGAAGCTGAAGTGACTTCAGATATTAAGAGCACTCTCCATAAATAAATGTAAACAATTTTTTTTAACAGGACCGGCCATATGACTCAGTGGTTAAAAGTATTTGCTGCTCTTCCAGAGGACCAGAATTCAGTTTCCAGCAGCCACACGGGGTGGTTCACAACCACCTGTAACTCCAGCTCCATCTGGATGCCCTCTTCTGCACACACATAACATTCATGTACACAGACTTGCACACATACACATAAAAAAGTAATTCTTTAAAAAACCATTTTAAGTGGTGGGTTATGGTGGTGCATACCTTCAATCACAGCACTCAGGAGGCAGAGGCAGGCAGAGCTCTGTGAGATTGAGGCCAGCTTGGTCTCTATAGTCAAGTTCTAGGCCAGCTGGGGGAGACTGTGTCTCAAAAAGATTAAAAAAAAAATCATTAAAAAAAGCACATTCCCACATTCAAACAGCAGAGTAAGCTACCTTTCTGGGCTGGCAGATGCTTGTAAGCTTTGTAGAGCCACTTCTGAATCCATTCTGAAGTTCATAGTCTTCACCTCTATGAACACTGTCCTTTCTTCACTGTAAGGGGTTGGCTCCTATCCCTTGGTCTTCAGGAACTGTCTGTAACCGTTAGCTTTATATTACCCCAATTGGCCAAAAACTCTCCTCAGCATTTGCCTTAGTCCATAACCCTACCACTTACAGCAAAACTTAACCCTCAGGCTTAAGTCTTGTCTTTCCACACAGTCCTTTGGTGGGTGTCTCATTAGGATGTTTCATTTAGAGGCCTGGTCTTAGGCTTGCTTCCCTGGTCTGAACAGTTTAAAGCACCCTCCCCCTCAACCTAAGTTCTCCTTACATCCTGGACTATTAATTCTTAGCCATAGGGGCATAGCATAAACCACAGATCCACTAGGTTGGGGCAAGTAATTTGCAACAAGAATAAAGTGTCCAGGTTTGCAACATTTCCTCTCTGAGTCCTGTGATACCACCACTGCTCATAAGAATTCTTGTGTGATTTTGGACAGGGAGGGAACTGGGCAGAATGTCTTACAAAGTACTGTTGGGACCTCTAACCCATGTTACCTGCATCACAGCCCTAGTGGGCCCACAAGTTACTGACTCAATCAATGGCTATGGTGATTTAATATGGACTATACATAGGAATGGATATGTGAACTGAGGTTTCAATAGGGGTATAAGTGCCAACCACAGATTTCTTTGGATGGTAGCATCTGTCTTCAAGGAACCAAGGCCAAGACTTAATATATAGCAAGAATAATGGAAAACAGTTACCCAATATATCAGACAGATAATGGAAATTTATTTAGGTCAGGGTGTGCTACATTGTCTGGACACTACATACATGCTTTAATTTCTTGTATTAAGTTATGATAATCCAGCTAGAGACGTTTCATAAAACTGCTTAAATCTAAATGAAATGCTCTAGTGAAGAAAGTATTTTCTGGTTGATGGATTCTGTCAAACCAGCTGAGGATTAATATAATGTTCTATCACAGCTGAACCATTATCACATGAACCATGTATCCTAAGAAGGAAGCAGCTCAGCCATAAGAATTTTCATTTCTTATGCCACGGTATCATTGCAAAAACAGTCCCCAATTCATAGGCATCGTGAATAAACCACCTAAAGACTATTTTCTGTGACTTATAAATAGCGATTCAAAAGAAGATTTAAAAACCAAAACCAAAACCAAAGAACAACTCAGGGGATCAGTGATACAGCTCAGCAGGTAAGGGCACTTGCTGCTAAGCCTGAGGACCCGAGTTCTACCTGGGTAGCACATAATGGAAAGAGAGAACTGCCTCCAATAAGTTGTCCTCTACCTTCCACAGGTCATCTGTGGCACATGTGTGCCCACACACATATATACACTAAAATAAATAAATAAATAAATAAACCCCTTAACCACATTTAGTTTATATAACTTTAGGTACCAATGTCTTTGGTTGTTCTGAAGTTATATGGGTCACTAAGAAATGGTAAAAACTTTAGACTGGCTTGGTAAAATACAAAGAAAGACAATTCAGGTTGTCATTTATAGTTTTAGAGTTTGCCTCAAGCATATAATGCTGTGTTACTAAGTAAAACACTTTCATAAAAAATTTATTTCACACTTTTATACAAATATCCACAGGTATTTTCTAATCACGAAGTAATTTTACAATGCTAATTAGTATAAAAATGTATCAAATGCAAACAGACCAGTGACTTGACTTGAGATGACATTCTTAACAACTGTAAATTTAAACACTATAACATTCTTATTTGTTTGTTGTTGAACTCCCTTCCAACCTTTTTCAGGACATTCATTTTTATATAAGGTCTAAAAACACTGTCAAAATATCAGCTTCTTTGTGTCCCATAAAGCTAATCCATGTGTTAGGCTCCAAGTTATCCAAGCAAGAAACTGAGACTTTAACAGCTATGACCTGTTTTAGAGAACTTTTTGTAAACAAAATATCATTTGTAAAATTATTTTTATGAATGAAAATGCCAAAGTAGAACCAGAATAAAAGTCCTCAGTATCTTAAGGGTATATGCTGTGTGAGAGGCAAAAAATGAAAAGAATGAAAACTCAAGCAATAGTGGCACATTTAGAGATATTTTGTTCTTTTAAAAGATTGAGAACTGGCAGGGTATGGTGGTACATGTCTTTAATCCCAGCACGTGGGAGGCAGAGGCAGGTGGGACTCTCTGAGTTCAGGGCCTACCTGGTCTACATAGATAGTTCCAGGTCTGCAGTGAGACCTTGTTTTAAAAATGAAAACAAAAACAAAATCCAAAAACCCTAACCCCCCCACCAACAAAACAAAACAGAAACAAACAAAAACCAAACCAAGTCAAACCAGAAAAGACCGAGAACTGGCTAGGAATATGGGGATGTAGCAAATGGTAGAGTACTTGCCTAGCCTTGGGTTTGATCCCTAACACTGCATAAAAATGAGAGTGGAGGCTCATGTCTGTAATTCCAGTATTGGGGAGGGGGAGTTGGAAGGAGGAGGACCAGAAGTTCAAGGTCATCCCCAGCTGCCTAATGAGCTCAGGGGCACTGGGGTTACATAAAACCCTCTGTCTCAAAAAAGACAGAGAACTGCTTATAGTATATCCAAGCAAATTAGCACCAGTTTGCAGTTGCTCCCCATATAACTTAATATTTTAAAGTACAATAATTAAAAATAGAATCAGCTTTGATATATATATAATAACTCTCTTCCCCCTCCCACCATTTAAATTTTGTTTTTTCAGTGCTGGGGCATGGGGCATGCTAGGCAAGCACTGTATCACTGAGCTACACCCCTAGCTCCAGATCAAAGACCTTGTTAAAATAGTCACAAAAGTCATTTGGGGAGATTTAGAATGGGAGGTAAAAATAAAAAAATTTAAAAATAGAATATGGACCGATGATTAAATGGTTCCAATGGCATTTAAGGAGCTAAGAGCCACCATGCACTGTCTGTCTGGTACACAGCCATTTTGGCAGATGCTCTTCAGTAGTCTCACACCGGATCCGTGTGGATCCACCCTAGGTACTCACCATTTCTTTCAAGTTCTGAATATACAGCATTTGAACCAGTGAGTACGTAGGCCCTGGAGTCCAATGAGCTAACTCATTTTCCCCAAGAGTTCCTGAAAGTTACAGCATGAAATTCTGAAATACCACACAGGGCTCCAAACTATGAAACAGGCAACGTTCAAGGACTGAATATCTTACCCCTTTCTTAAACCTTTTGAGTTGGGGGAGGGTCTGCCAGAAAGGAGATGTTAGTTTACAGAGAAGTTTAAGTTATTAAAACAACTCTCTGGCATGTTTATAAAGAACTTTGTTTTTGTAGTAAATAACTAAGATCAAACCAAATGACTTGCCAAGTTCTAATTCTGATTGCTTAAACCAATCTGTAGCATCTTTGGTTTGTTAGTCAACAACAAGATGGCTTGAAGAAAAATAAATATCATATATAAACAAATATAACTAGCATTCAAGTCTGTTGCACCTGTGTGTTTTAGTGAAGAGGGAGAAGGGAACCTGTGTGCATTTGGTGTGAGCAAGGATTCACACTTCCAGGAAATGGAGAGAGAAGGCAAGATGATGTATCACCTTCTATTGCACATTTAATTTAAGACAGCACTTTCAACAGAGACACAACTACCCCAATGGCCAAGTCTTGTGCAGTGAGGGCAGTTGACTCGCAGGTTCTCCAATCCTATGAGAAGGATGCTGTGGTGGCAGGTTGAGACAGCCACTCTTAGCATGGGTGATAGTGGGGGCCTTCCCCCAGCTGTGCCAACAGGAGGATGTCACAGGAGCGCAGCTGGGCAGGCCCTTCCCCAGCAGGTGCAAGCCAGCCACACCAAAAACAAAGGCAACCTGGAAAGTTAAATTAAGGCAGTTAAAGAAAAATCCACTCCAGTCTTAAATTTGGCTGTGCAAAACAGGAGCCTTAGGCTGCGTAACAATATCCACAGTTAAAACTGTAGGTCTCTAGTGTGTACAGTCAGTCTGAAATTCAGGTATTGAACAGGCTTTTGAATCCATCTGAATCACTGAGTTGGAAAAAAAAAAGGCATTTTGGGTAGTATGGAGCTTTTCTATGAGTAACTTTCATTTTCACTCCACTTTGTAATCCACTGTTTTTTTTCAAGATTTTCATATTTTTCATCTTTGATCTCTCGCTCTTCTTTCCGGATCCGTACAGCATGGTATCGGGGAATGCTGTCATCGTACCTAGAGCGCTTAAAGAATCCACACTGGAGAAAGGGGGAGAGAAAAACAGAAATTAATCTGAAGACTGAGTACATTAAGTGGGAACATCTAAGCATTCAGTTTGGCTAGGTTTACCTTTAGACTAGAGGGGAACAGACACTGTTTTGTTTTAAGAAGGCACCAATAGGTTGAAAAGAAATAGCCAGTGGAGATAAACAGAGAGGACAGCTGTAGAACTGGAAGAAAAGTTCATTTTTATCTTCTTTACACTTTTTATCTTCGGCTACCTCTTGATCAATAAGGGAAGCATTTGTGAAACTTTGCTTCTATGTTAGGGGAAAAAAAAAATCACCATTTCATATTACTCTCCCACTAATAAAATGCAAATCATGTCACAAGTATTTTATAAATTACTATTAGATATGCTATGTTCTAATGGGCCAATTTAAGAAAATCTCCTCTCATCCAAAGCTTCACATCTTTCTTAGTGGGGGCCAGTATACTGCCTAGATTTGCCAGTCTGCTTCCAATTAAGCTGTTCTGTTAAGAAGTCATAAAGTACATTAGGACTCAAGGAGAGTATCACTATGAATTTTGGAGTATTCCCTAATAATAATGTTGATGATGATGATAATTTATACTCAAACTGCTAAATATGATTTACTTTCTAAAAAGTTCGGTCTGATCCAAAGTATATTTTGAAAATATACTTGAAATTTTGGAATCATATAAGAAATTTTAGTGAATAAGGAAGGTACCCTTTTTTATTTTTTAAAAAAGGAAGTTAAAAATGCAATTTAGAAGGAAGAAGAAGATACAAAGAACTGTTGATTAATGCGCTTATTTTGTAACAGCAACAGGAATAGAATATTCATGTTGAAGAATATTATGTTACAAAATGCGACAAGACAAAAACCACAGGCCTAGTTACTTCTAAGTCAGTAGGCCAAATGCACTAGGAAGTTTTCTTGTAGACCATTTCTAGATGAACTCATTTGTTATTCTGTGTAAAACAGCCAATGTACTATTATAAAATATGAATGTGTCCGCCACATTTAAAAACAGAAGGAATGAAAGGTGAAATGTAAAACCAATGATGGACTGAGTCACAGAAACGGGTTTAGGAATTACTGTATGCTCTCATGCCCATAGAAAAGAAAAAAAAAAAAAATCACCAACAATTCTTGTTTCCTTGGATTTAGAAATCATAGAAGCAAAACATGAATTTAAAAACAAGAGAGCCAAGGTGGATAAAGCCTCTATGAACATGAACATGGTCAAACTCCATTACAACACTGAAATATAAACTGCCCACGACACACTGGCATGAGATTTTTGCATGCTGAAGGTTGCTTTGGCAGAGAACCATCTCCTGAGGCACCCAGGAAGCCCACCATGTTGATAAGCATTCTTTGTTGTAATGGTCTTTGGCCCAGAGAAGACATACAGGAAAAGGAAGTCGCATGCTCAGCTAGCACAAGCCCATGTCCTAGCAACACTAAAAAGCATTCCAAGCCTGCCCCATCACTTTACAGCAAGGACAATGAAAGACGAGAGCAGAAGCCTCTTTACCAAGAGAAACAAATGTCTCCCACATGCAGCGGGTTAATCAGGCAGTCAACAAAGCTTCTATCCCTGGGAAATTCCAAAATGGACAAGAAATCTGGGGTGATTTCTCATGCACCTTTGAAATTCCGAGTGGGACACTACACATTGCATTAACGACACATGGCAAACTGGACTATAGAATTTCTAATCAGGCAACTGTCTTCACTGCTGTGGGTGATGCTTAACAAGAACACAAAATTAACTCACCTGCAATGAAAGAGTCTTTGTGCATTAACAAAAACCAACGCGCTTTCAAATGAAATTAAAAAAGAAAAATCCAAGCATGGCAAGCCAGCGTGGACACTTGGAAACATCTGTTAATGGGACACACACAGCAAGCTGTTGCCCCCTTAAGTTAGCTACCACAACCATAGCAGGTCCCACAGCTAGCAATGAAAAACATTGATCAATTACCAATTACAGCAGATCAATACTATGCATCGGAAGTAAGCCTCTCTTTATCAGATGGCTGAGTATGGATCTCAGCCTTGTGATAGGTGGCATCATAATGATCTTTCTTATTTCTCTTGAAGAAACCACACTACAAGGAAGCAAGGTATTTAGTCAATTTCACAGTCTTGTGTATAAAAGCTATAAAGTGAGATCACTTTCAATCAAGCAGAACTCAGCAGACCCTGCACTGTGTTACACTGTAACAGCATTTAACAGTCATCACCCTGGGTCTCTGTACAAAGATTTACAAGGATGACGCACATTAGCTAATTGATTTTTCTATTTGTAGCAGCAATCTTGAGGTCATCCTAAAGGAAAAACATGTACATTTTTGTGCCTGGAGCTTCTGGTGGTTTCTTGTAGAACATAGACTCTAAAAAGGTAAACTATTCACTTCTACAGTCGGCTGCAACAAATGTTAGAAAACAAATTCTCTAAGTAAAATTTAGTACTAGTTGAAATAAAATGTAGATACAGTGTATTTTTCTGCCTTTTTATAATAAATTTTATGTAACACATACCATCTACTGGAGGCTTTTGGATTGGTGGGGTGAATCAACACAAATTCGAATACTGCTCAGGAAAGAATGACTGCTGTTATTTTCCCACACCTGAACCAGACACAGCCCTTAAATAAATGGCAGGAGCCCACGCTCCTTGGGTTAGGTCACTCTAAAGGAGTATGAAAGTATAACTCTCCTTTCTCCTATTATTTACTTCATTCAACACTGGAGAACTTTTCCTATTTACTTTTATTTCGTTCATAGGGTACAGAACTATCTTCTGAAATATAACTTGGTCAAATATCTCTCCTGGAGAAACTCTGTCTAGTCTGTCAACTCAAGGTTAGAAATCTAGATCAACTTGTCACGATGTAGTGGGTTATCAGCTACACACATGCCTATTCAAATTTAGATAAATTTACATTTAAAATGCAGTATTTCCATTGCATTAGCCAGATTCCAAGTGTTCAACAGTTTTATGTGACCACACTGGCCACTACCACTCCAGAAGAGTCTCATTACTACAGAAAGTTTTATTGAGCAGCACTGAACTAGACTATGTTGCATTTACTTGTGGCTCTCAGTGTGACAAAGTGTGCACACACAGAGAAAAGAACTAATAAATGGCACAGGAAGAAGAATGAACACAAACCAAGACCCTGGTTCTGTCTCACACTTGGCAATAGTCTTATTATCCCTGGGCATGAGTGTCTTTGCGTAAAAAACAAAAGTAAAGGAGGAATTTTCTCCTTACTTTACTTACTTTATTTACTGTGCAAAAGCCAATATTTAAAGCAGATAAAGCCAGAACTCTTCTGGTTAAAGTGGAGATCTCCTTAGCTTCTGATACTGATAGGGATGGGTAAAACTCACTCTAAAGGCTACTGAATTAGAATTCATCCATCCTCCCTCCTTCCCTTTCTTCCCTCCTCCTTCAGCGCCAGAGATTAAACCCAAGTGCTTCACAAATATTAGGCAACTGATGTACTACTGAGCTACATTCCCAGACCTCAGAACCCTTTCGGACCTTAAAATTCCAAGGCTTTAAATACCAATAATTCAGTTTATAAAGAAGAGTATGAAATAATAAGACTAACTTTCATGTGAGGGTTGCAGGAGTTATCTGATTATCTTAGAATCCCCTTGAAAGTCTGTATTATTTTAGAACTTCAGATAACTCAATGAGATACTTTAGTTTGAAACACTTAGACAGCTGAGCCCCAGGGAGGGGGACTAATTCGTCCAATATTATATACAGCTCGGGTATCTTAACCCTCGATCTACTGCCATGACAAAATAAAGATTAAGACTGCCAGTAAAATCTACTTTGAAGCCGGGTGTGGTGGCACATGCCTTTAATCCCAGCACTCAGGCGGTCAGGCGGATCTCTGTGAGTTCAAGGCCAGCCTGGTCTACATAGTGAGTTCCAGGACAGCTGGGGCTACAGAGGACCCTGTCTCAGAAAGACCAAAAAAAAACCCCTACTTTGAAAAAGACTAATCTTGGGCTCTCTTCCAGAGAATGAAAGATCATCCTCAAGAATCAAAACCCCAAATTAATTTTTCAATATCAAAGTAACTGTGACAGCAACTCCAATATTGGCTATCTATATCTGCCAGACAAACCTACTGCCTAAGAAGCACTGGAGTTAAACAGGAAGAATACTGGCACGAGCAGATACCAAGCTTCAAACACAGCATCTCAGTCTAGCAAAAGGAAGCTATTTGGAAGGGGTGGGGGGCATGAGGAAGAGAGAGGGGGCAGGCTCAAACTTTGAAAGTAAGAATATCCTTTGAAACCTTGTCTATTATACTCTAGAATACAAGGAAAGGAAAAGGATGGTTTGATCCTAGCGCATTCTTAGTTCACCCCAAACCCCCTGGAGAAGACATGTTTGGGAATTCAGGCATTTAGAGATTTGGGGAGCACTGTGCTGCATACATAATGGCACTGTAATAAGAATACTAATAATATTTCTGCAGAAACTCATGAATAAAGACTAATACTATACTCTCTTCACATCGTATCAGGTTTTGCTGCCAAGTGAGTCATCAAGCTTTCAGTTTTCAGAGCTTTGTGCAATTTAGAGTTACAGATGAGGGACTGTAAACCTTCAGTACTCACTGGGACTAACTGAAGACCTACTGGTTATAATTTTAGGCAACAAAAGTTTATAACCATCTCTTACATTTTCTGTAATGAATATAGAACTGTTTATAGCTAGGAAACAGAGGAAAGACATTAAACACTACATGTAGTCAAAAGGTCAAAGTCTAACGGACTTTTGTACCTAGACTACCATGTGTTTGTTACAGGCTGTGATGCCCCGCTTGAGATGCAGTTATTCAAGTAGGTTCCTAATCTAGCTGTAAGGGTAACAATTCCCAATGGTCATCATGAGACGACCATTTAGTGTTTAAAAACACTAAAATCATCAAGAATTCACATTTAGATTAAATTTTATGATTGACAATTTGGCTTAGTTTTAGAGTTTGACCTTAGGTGAAGAAAACGCTAAAATAGTACATTTAGAATTTGTTATTTCTGAAAATGCTGAATTATTTACAAGAGACCAAATTTATTCTTTTGAGAAGCTTTTTACACATAAATATCTTAAAATACAAGTGACTGGGTAGGTATGTAGATACTCTATAATGTAAAATTCTCTCAAATTTAATGTATATTGGAAAAGTTTCATGATAAAACATTGGAGAAAAGGAAAGAAAATGAACATGTTGTTAGTGTTAATTCACATTTTAAAAAACATGAAATAAAGTTGTTTTGGGGGACAGGGTCTCCCCTGTAGCCCTAGCTGGCCTGGAACTTGCTATGTAGACCAGGCTGGCCTCCATTTCACAGAGATGCCCCTGTCTCTCCCTCCCAAGTGCTAGGATTAAAGGTATGTGCCACCACACCTGGCTGAAATGACGTTTATATCATGAAACTCAAATGACAGATATGACTTACCTTCCATAGCAAAAACACTAATAGAGCCAGCATCAAAATCCCAGCAAGAATAGCCAGTAGGATGATCCACCAAGCTATCCCTGAATATTGGGCTGCAGTCTTTGAGGGAAACACAGTCACTCGAACCTAAAGGGCATGAAAGAGAGCAGAGCACCATAAACTGGCATGAGAGTTGGCATCAGTATCGAACCCTGGATGCAACCTAAACACACTGCTGCATCAACACTGGGCTTCGGTGTTCTAGACTATACCATAATTCTTTTCAAAATAATCTCTACATCTAAGTGCTTCTCTTTTCTTTAACTATCTAGCAGGTGAGAGTTCCCATCTGGAATCTCTAAGAGGCAGGTACAGCATTTTATCAGCCAACAGGTTTCAGCCTCAGGGTGACCTTGTGACTCGCTTCCCCTCCCACTACAGGTGACCTAGCTTTAAGCTAAAATAGCCCTTTCTTTTTTTATTTATTTAAACAAATATTTTATCTATCATTTTTATTTCATGTGTGTGTGTACTGCCTGCATGTAGGTAAGTGCACCCGTGTCATGCAATGCCTGAGGAGTCAGAAGAGGGTGTTGGATCCCCTGGAATGGGAGTTATAGACGGTTTTAGCCGCCATGTGGGTGCTGGGAATTGAACTCTGGTCCTCTTCAAGAGCAGCCAGCAGCTCTTAACTGCTCAGCCATCTCTCCAGTCCCCAAACTGCCCTTTCTTTAGAGTACTAGATCAGCACAGAAGCATTCACGGAGGCAAGAAAAACGAAACCATGAGACTGTTATGTGTCTGGTGAGATGACTACAACAAAAGGAAAAGCCAAAAGGACGACTTCAGTCAGTGGACAGGCGGTATCTCATCTAACTTTGCTTCCACTGTGACTGTGGGGAAAGGTGCCATGGAAGGACCAGTAAGTTCTAGTAAATCTGGAAGTAGAGAGTGGATACTGTTCATGGCAAGGCCTTAAACAGGCCTTATCAGAATCACACTGAGTACGAATGTGTTTAACATGATTAACAGGCGAAATCACTCCCATCCATGTCTACTATCCATCACCTAACAGCAAAGCAAGGTACTCTGGAATGTGCGGCTGGCAGCAGACTGGGGATATACAGCAGAATCTAGGTTCCAGGTCTGACCACATTCAACAGTATGGGGAGTCTTTTACATACTATTAAATGGCTCATAGAGCATCAAGGACTGAGGACCCGAGTCAGGGCTGGGCTAGATATACATGTCAGCTGTGATGGGGATCAGAAAGGTGAGAAGCAGGCAGCAAGACTATTGTTTGTTTAGTTAAATATGGTGGGGGGGGGGGGGGGGGTTGGGTCATGATAATCATTGTTCAATGCAGACTGAGAGGAAGGGTTGGCTACTGGAGCAGGTAGAAGGCCAACTGTATGGGTTACGATCCCCAGAGCTCTAAGAAGTCTATCTAAGCTTGTGATAGCAGCTATTACTGAACAGCAACGAGAGGTTAAAGTGAATACTGTAGAGCTTTACAACTCCAAAAGCAACTTTTCCCATTTGGTATCATTAAACTTTAGGCATCTTCATGGGGGCGACTTTCCATGGGAACCTTATTCATCATGTGCCAAAGGGGAAGGGTTTGGTACATTAAATTCCATCACCAGTGAGCAGGACTGAGACCACACAAGCTTGCTAACTGCCAACTGCCCTAAATTACTCTACCATGACCTCCACTCTTACTGAATATCAGTATAAGAAACCACCTGGTGAAGGTATTGCCATACCTGGCACTATGCACTCCTAGTGAGTACTCTTCATAAGAGCCCATCTTACAAACACACACATATCTCAAGTTCTTCTCTGAATTTGGAGCCTAAAAAGGAAAATCTCACTGCCCTGAAGAGTGGGTATTTATTTCTACATGTTACAGTTCCTTTCATCTTTAACAGACAGGAATGTGAATATTCCCTACCCCATTCTTAAATGCAGTGAAGACACATGCACACACATCACACCCCCTCCTTCCTTGGATGAATGTGAAATTCTTGACACTAAATCTTATTCAACATCCTTCTAGCACTTAGCATAGGGAAGGCACCCATGTGTTCATAACAGGTGCTTGTTTACCACACCAATTTAATTTAAGTGATGTCAAAATACAATCATCTTACCTGGTTCAATTGTGTGATTTCTTGTTATGACACTGTCTAAATTTAAAAGTGTTACTGAGAGGTGAATACCAAACTCTTGAAATTGGCAATAAATAAGAATTTTCTTAGTTTTTTTTTTTTTTTTTTTTTAAAGTAGGATTAGAGTAAAAATAAGAAATGGCTCTGTGCTGAGACACCTCCCCCCACCCAAAAAGAGAGACTGAATCACACAATCTCTTTTGTGTCTACCTCTAAAGAAAATGATCTTCAGACCAGAAAGAACCAAGATGAAGATGAAACTGCAACCCATAATAAGTGAAGGAATAAAAAAGGAAAACATCCCAACACTCAAATTGAGCTCAGATCTTCAGGCCCATAAAAATGGCACTTCAGAAACTTGGGAAAAGTGCAGACACGGTATATAAGCTATTGTATCTCAGAAATCACAGGAAATAGGAGGTATCCGAAGACTACAGATAAAATGTCTCAATTTTCAAAAGAAATAGGTTCTAGACATGAAAGGCTAGAAATCCATTCATGAATCCACCAATTATTAAACAAAGTGGGCTCACTGCAAAGATTCCACCTCCATTAGGAGGGGTTCCCCAAGTCTGGATTAGATAAAATGCCCAAGATAGCTTTACTTCTTTTGTAACTCAGCAACTAGACTAGATACCAGGCCCTCAGTTCTATCATCTTCCAGAAAAAGAGGACCAGAGACCTGAGACCTAGTTTCAGCTCTGCTGACTGGTCAAAGAACAGTAAGGGAGACAATCTTCCTTCTGAAGCGTGTCCAGAGAGGCAGGACAGCTGCCTGCTGTTACTGGAAAGGTTGCTACATGGCCAGAAGAGGAAAGGCATTTTGGGCTTGTCCCAAGGACACACCAGGGATGTATTTTACATAGACTGATTGACTATTCATTGATTCATTTATATTCACAGGGCTTTTGAGATACAGTAACATTCTATCTCAAAGCTGAACCTGGAACTCAGTATGTAGCACAGGCTGGCCTTCAACTTGTAGCAATCCTCCTGCTTCAGCCTCCCAGGTTCTGGATTATAAGCATGAGCCACCATACTTGACTTTTCAATCCTAGATTTATATAGAAAAATCTTTTCTAGTAACTGCAGTTGGCCACACAAAACATAGGCATTTTAGGAATGGCCGCAACAGCAGGGGCTGCCTGAGACTTCGATTTCTTTGCAACTGTGAGCCACTCTCCTATCAAATGGCTCCCGGTTCTCATACTGACCACCACAGCTCTGCTGAATGGAGGATACTCTGTGTGTGTGTGTGTGTGTGTGTGTGTGTGTGTGTGTGTGTGTGTGGTGTGTATATAGTACTTGGGATTGACCTTAGGGCCTTGTGCATAGTAGGAAGCATGAGCTACATATTAGCCCTTTTTAAAACTTTATTTTGGAACAGGGTCTCATTCAATTGCCCAGGCTGGCCCTGAACTCACTCTGAAACCTAGGCAGACAAAATTCATGATTATCCTGCTTCAGCCTCCTGAGTAACTGGAATTACAGGCCTGTATCACTAGGTCTGGCTTAGGTTTAATTCTGTTTTTCAATGACTCTGTTAAGACAGAGTACCTTAACACACTGTCCATAAAGAAGCAACAAGACTATGGTGGACATGAGTGCCAAGGAGGGCAGCCTGTAGCTGTGTGCATGGCATAGAGGAGGAGACCAGCTCTGAGCCTGAGGGAACCAGGTCTCACCTGAGTGCCTGCATGAGGCAGCTTGATATTCTCAGCAGCTGCAGTCACATCGATGGAGGCCCGCACGAGAATGTCCAGGTAGTTCAGCTTGGAATATTCCTGTGGGAGAGAGCAGAGAGGTTAGGGAAATGACAAATGTTCTTAGCAATAGCAAAAGCTTGCAGGGGACAGCCCCAAGGCAGAGCCACACCTCTAGAAATGTGCTGTTCCATAACCTGGAGTGCAACACAAGAGAGGCCTTGCTGTCCAGCCCTCGCAGTGGACACCTGATATTCACACACTTCACGTTGACACTGCAGTTCTAGAAAAAGGGAAACTGGTGGTCAGAATCCATTATTCTGGGAAGCGCCCTTTCCTACTTACAAAAGCCATATTCACATTCCTGGAAAAATACTCACAAGGGTCTGGTATTTTCTTTCAGCAAATAAAGAAAATTTTCTGCTGTCATCTATCTGTTTTTCAGGAATTTCCCGTTTCTTTCTTGAGTTGTGAGACTCCTGAAAAGAATTATATAGAAAACAGGTCCACTTTATGTACATTTTTTTCATTACCATATAAACCTTCCAAATAAAGTCAAATTCACATAATCAACAATTAATATTTACCTATTGTCTTAGTTTCTTTTCCTGTTGCTGTGATAAAATACCCTGACCAAGGCAACTTAAGGAGGAAGGGTTTATCTGGCTCCCAGTTGCAGGTTACAGTCCATCCTGACAGGGAAGTACGAGCAGCAGGAACCCAAGGGAGGGAGCTAGCCATACTGTATCCACATTCGAGAAGCAGAGAACAGTGAGTGATTGAGTTCAGCTCACTTTCTCCTTTCTCTACAGTCCAGCCCTGGGAATGTGCTGCCCATTTTTAAATGGGTCCTCCCACCTCTATTAACCTAATCAACATAATCCCTCACAGCCATAGCCAGAGGCTAAATAATCCTACAAAGTGTGCTTAAAGGCTTGTCTCCTAGGTGATTTCAAATCCTGCCAAGGTTACAATTAACACTATCTACTACATTTTCCTTCCCACTGCCAAAGGCAGAGGAATAAAATATAAAGCCTGCACATGTTATGGCCACTTCAACTTCAGGGTGACTGACTCACAGGCCTATTTATTTAAGCAGTTTATTTCTAGTGTGACACTGAAACTCAGGAAAAGAGAAACACACCTCCTTTATTCATGTGCCCCACCAAACCATAAGCACACAGCATCAAACTGTGAGTCAACGGAGACCAGGATCAGTTTCTGTGGCCCTGGCACCTAGCTCAGTACCTAACTTATGGGTAGCAGTCAGTGCCCATGGAATGACAAAATGGTGCTAAAGAACAGAGAAAGAAGCAGAAGACCCTTGATGTGATCAACTTAAGAGAGGAGCACTGAAAACATTGTGGAATCCCCCTCATCAGAATGCACAGGACCAGAAGAGCTTCTGATTTTGGAGCATTTTGGATTTTGGATTGTTGGAGTCAGATAGTTAACCTGTAATTAGGAGTAGGAATAATAATCCATCTTGTTTTTCAACACTGATGAGTAAAGGAGCATGCTGTTTAAGTCTCTACCTATGAATATTCATCAAACCCAGTCACCTTTGAATTTAAAATACAAGAAGGCTGGGATTGCAGCTGAGTTGGTAGGGTACTTGCTTAGCATGCATATGCTCTGTGTTTGAGCCCCAGCACTGCATAGAATAAACCAGGCATAGCAGAACATTTTGTAATCCCAGCACTCGGGAAGTAGAGGCAGGAGGATCAGGAAATCAAGGTCATCCTTGCCTATACCATGAACTCAAGGCCAGCTTGGGCTACATGAGATCTTGTCATAAAAACAACCAATCAACCAACCAAACAACAACAAAAATTCCCAAGGATTTAAAGTAAACGAAACCACCATGTATGGACAATGCAATCCTTCATCACATTGGAACATAAGTCAGTCAGTTTCTTAAGTGTGCTGCAGTAGAGAGGGGGCAGGTTTGGAAATCAGTGGGAGTTTAAATGCAGAATCTATCTGCCTCTTAACAGTTGAGTGACTTTGAAAAAGTTACTTAATGTCTCTGATTCTTAATGTCCTCACCGTGGGAATGGGTGATAATAAAAATTATCTCACAAAATTATCAAAAGAGTAAAAGGAAAAAGGCCAACAAACTGCTTAGTATGGTACTGAGAACGATATATACTCAATGAGTATTTACTATTTAAAAAAAGTGAAAGCTTTCAAGGTTATTTGCTAAGGTGCAAAGACTTTTTACATTAATGATACTGCTTGGAGTTGACAGTGGCTGGCTCGTCTTAGTTTTCCTTATGTAGCCTATCGGGTCATAAAACTTTAGAAAATGTCCTGTCTCCAGAAGCCACTGTTCCATGATGATCAATCAACAGTAAAAATGCCTCAGCCCGACTCAGTTACTGAGCCATGAATGAGAAATTGTAACCACCAAAGGAAAAGTCAACATGCCATAATGCAGCTCCCTAGTGGAGTCATGATTTCCCCCTCCAGAACCCACAAGGTCTGCAGCTGGTATTTACACCTCAGACGCAGGGAATCTGCCAACATACCTTCAGGTTCAGGGAGTTTATTTCACCCCGTGGCTCACAGACGATCTGCTCCAAACCTTTGGATTCTACTTTCACCAAATAAAGCAGCCATTTGCCGTTGCTAATTTCTTTTGGCCACTGTATATTCAAGGTCGCTGTGCCAAGGTTTTTAAGAGGTTTACCTAAGTTAATCACCTGTTAGAAAACAATATATATTGCAATATAATCCTTTTAATGTAAAATCAAGTAGCATACCTCCTTGTAGCCTGTGAAATAAAGCTAAAATATCCAGCATAATCCTACAATAGCAGCATAAGCCCCTGCAATGGACCAAGGATAGGGCGTTCAAAATAGGTATTTGTGTTTAAAGATTCTTGTCAGTAAAAACAGGAGAAATAAAAAGGTCAAAGAGAAAGACTGCTAATTCAATCCAGGAATAACTTGTATGTAACAGAATCTACAATGCAGTTACACCATGTTCAGAAGCCCAGAGAAGGTCCCTTGTGTATTTGTAAACTGCTCTGTGGGCATCCTGTCTGGCAGATGACACAAATCTGTGCCAAGGCAGCAGCACCAATAACATGCTTCTGGGAAACCTCCCTGCTATGAGAATGAAGCTGCTTCTGTTGTCTATTACCCAGGGGAGAACTTGTGGAGAACCATGTGACAGCTCAGAGTGAGCACTGGGCGTAGAGTCACTTCCAATAACAGGAGCCCAAAGCAAGAGGGCAGAGCCATTTGTCTGTATGGAGGACTGTTCCAGAACCTGCAGGCTTCTCATCTGCCAGACCAGCACAGATCTCACACCAACCACTACCTCTAGCCAGGCCATGTCTAGATGCTCAGAGACACCAGAAAAGAACCAGCCTCTTCAGTGTGCTGGAGTCAGGGCTCAGCAGCCTGCTCTTGCCTTTTCAGTCTTTTACCTCCGCATTCACCAGCCTTCCAAGAATGTGCTTTGTATCATGCAAACCCAAACCCGCTTGTATGCAATAGGCAGACTTCACAGTATATGTTTAACTGGACCCAGGGTCACTGTAATCACCTACTGTGAGCCCACCCTCCGCCTTCTTTTCTGGAATGTACCAAGTCTATACATACCATCACAAAACTGGGCTTGTGAAAGGGAAGTAAATATTATATGGTGTCACTGTGATCACCTATTGTGAGCCTACCATCTACCTTCTTCACTGGCATGTACCATGTCCACACATACTATCATGAAACTGGGCTTTTGAAAGGAAAGCAAATATTAATATTCAGTTATGAGCACTAAGAAAGACGACCTTATCATGGAGGAAGAAATAAATTATACATTTTAAAGTATTCTTTGTGTCTATGTCATATGTACACTAAAACTCCCTAATAAGAAAAGAGTAAGCTGAACTCGATTCTGAGCCAAAGGTCTCTGCTGAGCGACAGCTGTTCTCCACTCAGGAAGATTAAGTTTTTCACTGTAAGCCAGAGTGTTGTTAAAAACCAGCAAACACCTCTTCAGTTGAATATTTATTCATAATGCCCATGGCTGCTCATTTATTAAAATTACATATTCAAGACTATATCCAGGACCAATTGTGCCAACTTACCCTGAATTCATACTCTATTAAACTTCCCACTTCATCTTCAGATTTCATAGCTTGCTCACCAACAACTGTACCTCCAAAATACACCTGGGAAGGTTTAGCAACTCTGTTAAATTAAAAAACACCCGTTTTAGTGAGAATTATAAATGGTTCTTTCAAACGCTGATTTGTTATGCCAAATACAAACACTTACCCGGAGACCGATAAAAGCAGTTCAATAACCACTTTTGCTTTGGCTGTAATTGGAGCCAAATTATCCTGATTGCTTGTTCTGAAAATGAAAAGGAAACAATAGGGTTTTATTTGAACAGTCAGTTTTCTCATTACAATTACATTTCTTTTATGAGTTGGATTGGTGCTAATTCATTGACTGCCAGGGTTCTCATGAAATAATTATGAACAGGAAGGTTGAAGTAACTCTTACGTTTCCAACTTCAGGTTAACGTCCAGATCTGTGGTGTCAAAGGTAACCTCAGTTGTACTTAAAATCAGATAAAAAGTAACCTGAAAAAAAAAACATAAGGAGCTGTTAACATGGGTGAAGCCTATAGGCACAGTTCTGGTACTCAGAGCAGTAAGATGCGGGGTAGAGGCACCACCTACACTGGAATTTCTTTTGAAAGGATTTCCGAGTTCACAGTCAGCTTGGGAGCCATTCTGGTTGGCAACACAACTCAGCTGTTTCTCCTGTGGCAGAGAAAGGCATTGGGTCACAGTCTGTTCATGCATCACATACTCTTGGATTTTCCCTCCCAGCTGGTCTCTAAGAACACTTACAGGGAAGGCCCTCAGTTCTCTGTAAGCGGAATATGTCAAGGTGTCGGGAAACGTGGCAATCAGTTTAGCTTCGTGTGCATCGTCGCCATCTTTCGTGGGATTTCTTGGATCAGAAGGGCTGTTGGTCACTGTTATTTCCAGAGCTATATCCTTCTGATCTTTTAGAACTAATTCTGGTATGCCTTTTTGACTAGTAACAAACAAACAAACAAACAAAAATAAACAATACAGAATAATTTTCTCAACACATGTTCAGTTACCCTTTCTTAAGTCACCCAGAGGTCAGAGTTATTTCTGCTAGTGATTCTTACATTGGTAGATAAGAAAATTTGTCTTGATTTCCTTCTCGGGTACAAAATTTATATTCTAATTTAAGGTTGCTGTTGCATATATTGTCGTCCCCACAGCCCTCTTTTAAGAAGTGCACCTGTAAGAAAACAAAAGCAGAGAGGTAAAAGTTACCTGAGATTTCCACAGTCCATTTCCCTGTGAGCTATCCTCCTCTGTCCTACATTTGGCTCCTGCTTTGTCCTTCGTCAAGACCTTTTGACCAGGTCAAGGCAGTGGGGTGCAGCAGAATGTGAGTCCTGAAGTCACAGAGAATCTGTATTCTAAAAACCTGCCTCTGTCTCTTGCATAGCTGTGCAATTTCAGACAAGTCACTTAACATTTCAGAGTCTAGCTAGGTTTGTCATGGTCTTATAGGGTTATCACTACCTTACTTGACAGAGCAACTGCAAGGGTTTTCAATAATGACCCTGATGCTAGCTAACACAAATTACATTTCACTCATTTAACAGTCTGAAGAGACCCTATTATTATGAGCCTCATTGTATGTATGAGGAAATAGAGATTAGGAAGGCATTTGATAATCATATCACTAAATAATTAGGAACAAAGTCTCCTTTGCTGTTGTGTTTAACCTGCCTCTGGAGCTGGGAATGTGCACAAGAAATAGGAACATGGTGATAATGAGTAACATCGCAGAACACACAGTACACAAAAATGTAAGGGATTCTATCTGGTGACCAAAACCATTGACAAAGTGTAGGTTTAGACGTCAGTTCCTGAACTGAAAGCAGTGAGTCCCCGCTTCTGCAAAGCTGAATCAGTGAGGCACTGGCACCAGAAGCCTTGAAGGGACCACCCTATTGGCAGCTGGATTTGTTTTTTGTCTTATGAGTCAGGGTAGCTCAGGCCGACCTCAAACTTATAATTGTCATGTCTCTGCCTCCCAACTGCTGACTTTACAGTCATGCACAACGCCCAGTTTCTGTATGGTGCTGGTGATTAAACTCAGGGCTTTGTGCATACCAGGCAAGTAATTTGCCAACATAGCTACATCTCTAGCCCATTAACTGGATTTTGAGACTAAGTGTGTAATGTCAGATCAAGGGTCTAGGATTGAAGCTCTACAGAGAGCATGTGTTAAGCATTCATGAAGCCGTGGGTACAATTCTCAGCACCACAATAGCAATAATGATAATAATAGTGATGTCAGATCAGGATGCCATAGTTCTTCAGGCTAACTCTGATCTCCGTTCTGTGTCCTAGCAAACAGATCCCACCTCACATGAGGTGTCCAGCAGGCCAAAGAATATAAATTTTCTTCCTATGATGACCCAGACTGCATTAGGCATGCATATAGGCAATGCCATTATTTTCTGTTATTTCCTGATTTTAATGTTCTAATAATATTTTAACCACATTTTACTGTTCTCAATGGTAAAATACAATAAATCAGTTGAAGGAGAAACAATAGGAGAAAACAGTTTCTGCCAGCAAAGTTTCAGTAAGGCCCAGGGACCAAAAATAATTACTGCCTAATCCCCAAATTCCATTTCATAGGCTTCTATTTCCATTGCTAATTTGATAAAGAATTTGAGAGACCAATTATGTATACTTACAAGAAGTGCTGAGGCAATGTAGTAGCCTGTAATGCAAATCCCTAGCTCTACTACCTTCAGAGACACCCAGTTGAGCATCTTTGCATGGTAAAGACTAGCAGAACAAAAGTCAGAAAGCTTACATCTGTCTGGACTGTCTTGGGTTCATTTGCATTCAAGATGGGAAGAACTTCAGGAAGTGAATTCACTCGCCGGCGAGAGCTGGGCTCCTGGATCTCCACAGAAGCAGTTACGGGGATGGGACGCAGCTTGTCCCTGATGTTTTCCTGAAAAGTATGCAGTGACACAGCTAAGCACGGTCAGAATCGAATAGGCCTCCAAAATGACAACAGTGCCCTGATGTCGGAATTGTTCAGAAATCTAAGTGTGTCACCAAAACCCATCTTCTGTTCTCTTTGACAGGGAAGGTGACTGTCACACGCTCACCTGCAGCCAGAGGGTTTCCTCCATGCACGCCCGCTGCTTCTGCCTGTTCAGTGTCAGCTCTTGAGTATACTTGGGCTCAGAACCTTGGTTTCGAAACTGAACTCGTGAGGACAATCCAGACTTTCTTCTTTCTTTTTCAGCTTCAAGCATACCCAAAATTGCTAGGTTAAAATTAAGAAAATTGTATTAACTTAAAGCATATCCACATACCACTGAGCTACAAATATGATGAGCTTCTTTTAAAGTATTTCAATTCTTCATAGAACAGTACTTTTTACCACTGCCTTTGTTTCTCTTTGGATATCCTAGTAAGGTGCCTTTTGATGAGCTGTGATGTTTTCCATTGAACTGTCCTTCCCATTGCTTTAACTATCTCAAAGTTAAATTTTCACTGGACCACCTGGGGGAGCTCAAGAATAAGCCAGAATCCTTCTGCAGCAGCTAAGAATCAGTGACTGAATTTCAGGAACCTACAGAATACTAATAATAACTGGCAACCCCCAACTCTCCCTCAGGGCTCTCTCCAGCCTGCACTTTGACGGCATGGGTTCTTTGGTATTAGAACAGGTGTCTGGGAAAGCAGTCTCCTGCAGCTGAAATTTTAACAGCATCCCCATGTGTTTCTTGTACCTATTAAAGTTTAAGAAGCCCTGATAAACTGAGAAGACACAGATATTAAAGACAGAGACGTCTTTGAGAGTAGGATAAGATCTTTTATTTTTAAAAAGGCAATTAAATAATGGCTTACATCTGTCATCTCAGCACTTGGTAGTAAAGGAAGGATTGCCATGAGTTCAAGGCTAGCCAGGGCTAAACAGTGAATTGTAGGCCAGCATGGGCTGTGATATAAGATCTTGTCTCAAAAATCCAGATAGATGGGTAGTAGACAGATAGATAGATGTGACCGCTATTTCTTTCAGCAGCTGGAGGCCAATTTGTTAGCCTAGCACAGTTCCTACACTGTCCAGTTTGTGGTGAAGGATGGCCTGCTGCTGACTACCTCAGCTTACTGCTGACTGCCTTGTCTGTTGCTGACTGCTTCTGCCAACACAGCTTGGAAGTAGGCCAGGACCTAGATTATCAGAATCTCATTTCTGGACTTTGGAATGTATTCTTCATCAGGCTACTGGATGAGGCTGCTAACTACATTTTTCAAGGGCAATATTTAAATTCATTAAGTACTCACTAAAACCATGGGAATGGAAAGCACACTAACATGTACAGAGGACCAGGGAAGATGCCTTCAGGGAGAAAAAATTTTGCTCCAGAAAATGTAGAAAATGAGGAACTTACATTCTAATATTCATCTTAGGATCTTAGGGGCAAAAGAGACCTTTTTGAGAACTTTTTTTTTTTGAATCGGGTTGCCTGGAATTGTCTATAAAGTCGAAGAGGACCTCAAACTTCGGATTCTCCTGTCTCCATCCCAAGTTCTGGGATTACAGGGTACACCAACATACTTGGTTTTATGGAGTGCCAGGCACTCAACCAGAGAGCTTTGTGCACATTAGGCAAGCACTCTACCACCTGAACCAGATCTCCAGCCCTGAGCACATCTGTTTTAATGCACTCTTTGCAAATGAAGAAAAGGAAGTTCAGGGCCATATGGCAAGAGACAGGGATATCCCCAACTTTGAGTCTCTGTATGAAACACAAAAGCTGGCTGCTTTTTACATCTGCCATTGTTCTGGTTCCTCTTTCCTTTCCTGCCTAGTCTGCTTGGCTGACTCTATTCCCTCTTCAGATCCTGACCTAGACCTCACTTTATCCTAGAAGTCTGTCCTGGCTCTGCCTGAGAGTGTTCTGTCTCCAAACACTGCATTTTGACTCTGTCTCCCACAAATGGAGCTGAGGTAAGAACAAAGGCCACATCAGCCTTGCTACCACTGAATCCCTAGCAACTACTAAGACACCTGCTAGAAGTATGATCTGCAGGACAGATGAATGGAGTGGAGTAACTGGCTTCATACCAATGGGTACACACAGTGACGTGTGCACCAGTCCACATATGTGTGCACAGTGTGATATGTGCACCAACACATGTGCATATGCACACAGTGTGGCATTTTTAATGCTGAAATAACAGCTATTCAGATACATAAGACCAAAATTTAGAAATACTGACAGTTTCAATAGTAATTTCTATGTTCGTCTGAAGAATTCTTAAATGTCACAGCTGCCAAATGGAATGCTCCCCATTTTCGGCCCTCAGCAGCCTTGACATCATCCATTTATCAGTGACCCGCTAACTTCACAATGAATCAGTTGAAGGCTCACATGCTGCGTGCCCCTCATGGCAAAAGTACAAGAGGGTGTGGGTGCATTAAAACCGCTTATCTACCAAACCCACACTAACCTTCTGTAACCCTCCAGACAATTCACTTCATCTTAAAATCCTTGAAGGCCACATCTACTGACCTTCTGAGGGGCAAGCCACAAAGAATACTCATTAAGGCTCAATTATAAATATCTACATGTGTGTAACACTGCATCTGAGGACTGCCAAGTTGAAGTATCCTGGTCAAACAATAAGCTCACTTGTGGTATACTGGGAAAAGATTCTAGACGCAGTAACTTAGGCAGTTTTGTGGAAATTCTGTTTTATTTCATTTAAAAGTTCCCAGTACTATGGAAGTACAAACAATAAAAGTGTTCTCTGAATGTCTTCCAAGAGAAGAGTTCCCCCCATCATAGGCCATCAATAAATACTTGGTCAATGGAGCAGCGGCACACCACAAAAGTGATATACATGGCATCAAATGCTGCATCGAAGCCAGGAGAAAACATGCTATTTCTCATATATAAATGCCAATTTGGGAGGGGGAAGCACTCCAGTGAGATTTGACATCAATCTTCAGAGTAACAATAAACCAAAAATGTTTTCCCATTTCTTTTTTTCTTTGGTTCATTACGAACACAGGTAAAAGGCCTGGCATCCAGGTAGGGAGAGATGTATGTCTTCTTATCATTAAGAATCACATAGCAAGAGGCTGGGTAAATAGTTCAGTTTATAAAGTGACTGCCATGCTGCATGAGGACAGAGGACCTGAGCTCAATCCCCAGACTCCCCAGATGGCATGCTTGGAATCCCAGCACTAGGAAGGTGGACACGGGGCTCTCTGGGACTCTAGCCTAATTGGGCAGGCCCAGGTCTTATTTTGAGAGATCCTGTCTCAAAAAACGAGGTGGATGGCTCTTGGGGAACACCACCCAAGACTGACTTTTGGCACGTACACACGTGCGCGCGCGCGCGCGCGCGACACACACACACACACACACACACATGCACAGGAGAGGAAGACACACATACACACAAAGGGAGAAGGAGAGGGAGAGAGGGAAAGAAAGAGAGAGGGAGAGGGAGACACACAGAAAGGGAGAGAAAGGGAGACAGGGAGATAGGGAGAGATGGGGAGAGGGGGAGGGGGGAAGAGGGAGAGAGGGAGATGGAGAGAGACAGACAGACAGATACAGACACAAGATGCTATTATAAAGCCAAGTGAAAGGCCACAGCATAGGAACGCTTCCTGCCAGGTCTGCAGGTTCTACTGCAAAGGCAGAAATGGGGGAAGGCAGACTTTTAAGTTTGATCCCTGAGACCCACATGTTGAAAGAAGAGAGCCAACTCCCACAAGTTGTCCTCTGACCACCACAGGAGTGCTGTGGGAAGCATTCCATTTGCCTGCACACACACATACACACACACACACACACACACACACACACACACACACGATGTGAAAATAACTTAAGTACCATATTAGGGAATAGACTGCACAGTGTGGACTCTTCTTACATAGATCATAATTCTGTTCTTTGTTGGCCTGGTACTCGCTACGTACACCAGGCTGGCCATCATCCTCTTGCCACAGTCGCTCAAGTGCTAAGATTACAGGTATGTACCATACCAGGCACTTAGCTGAACTTTCCATTCATTCATTCATTCATTCATTCACTCATTCATTTGACACATTCACACTATGCAGCCCTGGCTGGCCTGAAATGATATACCTCCCACAATACACCCCCACAGGAACATTTTGTACCAGGTCTGCAGGTCCCATTGCAGAGGCAAGTTGGCAGAAATGGGGGAAAGACAGATTTGAAAGAAATAGAATGTTTATTTAAACCGTTCTTTTCATTATGGAATGAATATTTACGTCCTCATTGGTATGTTCATTATTATTACATGAAATTTCACATGAAATTTCAAATAACTTTTGGGTGTGGTGGCCTATGCCTTTAATCCTAGCACTAGGGAGGTAGAGACAGGTGAATCTCTGTGAGTCTGAGGCCAGCCTGGTCTACATAGTGAGTTCCCGGCCAGAAAAGAATTACGATCTATGTAAAAGGAATCCATATTGTGCAGTCTAGTCCCTAATGTGGCTATTAAAATTTTTTTCAATTATTTATTTATTTACTTTTTTATTTGTGTATATGTACATGCACATACACTTGGCACAGTGGGCAAGGTCAGAGGACAAGTTGTGGGAGTCAGTTCTCTCCTTTCACCATGTAGATTCTAGAGATCAACCTCAGGTCATCAGGCTTAGTGGCAAGAGCCTTTACCCTCTGCACCATCTTGCTGGTCTCTGTGGTTACTTTTTGTTTGAAATAATAACCTTAGTTTGTTAAAATTAAGATAAATTCTGAGATAGTAAAAGGGATACCTTTTTAAACAAGGGGTAATACTTTAAAAAACAATAAGAATACTGCAGAAAATTTATTCCTCAAGATGCGTAAAGACAGACAGCATATGAGGAAGACAGACTGACCTTGGACTTCAAGAAGCTTCCCTCAGTGGCATATATACTATACAGAATGCTCAGTGCATCAAGAAATTCCACACACCCATGCACATATTTGCAGGCACGCTTACATGCACACATGTACATGTACATGTACACACACACATCCTATTTTGGGTTCCAGAGAAAGGAAGTAGGCTAATTTAAAAGACAAAGTGCCTTCCATCCCATTTTCTCATTTGATCAGGTTCACAACTCCACACAGTGGTGACTTGGAGGCAGTGTTTTTAACTGACAGGATCAATAAACTCGAAGGTTAAGGACGTATCCTGTGCTGTGGGGCCAGTCATAGCTATGATGAAGCCAGGGGTGGAGGACCGGTCTCTGACTCCCCAGGATAAGCCTTGAGGTGTTCAGGGTCCTGCAGTGGAGCAGAGCTTGGGAGATGAGGCTAGAGTGGGGGTGGGCAGGGAGAGCAGGCATAACCTGGCAAGCATTCTGACTGCAGCTGTGCTTTGGCTCCTGGAGTTGCCCTTCTACAACCACCACCCACCACCTCGTAACCACAAAACCAATTTTCCACAGTGCTTTTCAAAGACAGAAACGGAAGAAACTGTTGGGACAGCAAATAAGTGCTTTTCCAAGGCATCCTGTCCCAAACCATCTGCTCTGGAAAATTCAAATGGGGACCAAATGGAGAGCTTTTCCTCCCTCATTGTGCTCTATCCTCTTGATTAAAGGGAGATCATGGATACACTTCATTCTTTAAGCAAGAATTTTTAGGCTCACTTTGGCCATTGCAATTTTGTTTTTCTGTGATTTATGCAGAACTTTTAGCCTGGCAGAGAGAAAATGTTTTGTTGGTGGTGGTTTTTTTTTTTTTTTTTTAATGTATTAGATACTTACATATTGGAGGATTATAACCAGCAGGTTTGGCAGTATATTCAAAACAGGCTTTAACCTTGAGGCTGCAAAAATCAAATGTGTATTTCTTAAAACACGCATTGTTGCAATGGAAAAACCCAAACACATCCTCCAGCTCTCCCAGTAAGAAATGATGTATTCATTTGACAGATTCTCTTCCCTTTGTCCAGCACACCCTAATCTTCCCTGTGGCCCCTCGGGGCAAGCAGGTCATCACAAAGCAGAGGAAACAGACAGGCTCCCAGAACCACAAAGGAACTCACCATATCCCGCTAGGTGGCCCACACAGGGATTTCTGGCGGAGGTCAATTCTGCTAGGAGTTACAGTTATGGTTTTCTGAATGTTAATCACAGGCCGGGTTCTAAAAACAAAGGAGTGAAGAGCAACTTCAGCCTTTTGTTATCTTCAGTGGCAGAGTCATTTGCAAGGCAGACAGTATTTGCAGCAGCCTGCTGCATCTTAAAAACCACAGGAAAATTAATGTGTGCATATGCGACTTCATCCCCCACCGTGGGAGCAAGTCAGATAACTGATATAAATTTATAGTACTTAAATTATACACTATTTAAAACTGTACTATACATAAAAATTGATAAGACTTAGGAGGGTGCAATGTCTTCAAGCAAATGTTGTCTCCGTGATAATACACTCACACCTCAAGTAATCTTATGTCCTTTCAGACAGCTGTTAGTCTGTATGCTTCTGTTAGAAATATCTACAGTCAAATATAAACAAATGTAGCTTCACTCAATGGGAGTTCTTATGCTCGACTGTTCTGTACGTTACTTTGCCTCATTCATTAGTATCTCATCTTCTATACACATATACAATTTATTGCTCCTCACATGTAGTAATGCTGAACTGTATCTGTAATCATTCCTCACCAGCAGATACTCATGTTAAGTGCTTTGACAATACTGTACATAAATCTATGTTCACACTTGAGTTTACCAATGGACAAATTCCTACCAGCAGAATTTACAAGTCAAAGAATATGTGCATTAAAAACTTAATTATCTGAGAGTCAGAGGCAGGAAGGTTACTGTAAATTCAAGGACAGTATGGCCTATATATTGAATTCCAGGCAAACTAGGGTTGCAGAATAAGATCCTATCCCAACAAATAGATACTTTGTTTCACTTAAATTTTAAAATTTTTATTTACTTACTTTTACTTTGTGTGTATGAGTGTTCTGCCTGTATCTGTGTAAGTGCACCACATATGTGCAATGCCCTCAGAGACCAAAAGAGACATGAGATACCCTGGAACTGGATTTTCAGATGGTTGTTAGCCATCATATGTGTGGGTGCTGGGAATTGAACCTGGGTCCTCCGGAAGAGCAGCCAGTGCTCTTAACTACTGAGCCACCTCTCCAGCCCCTTACTTAGCATTTTAAACTGATTTGTAAATACATAAAAGTTGTACATAACAGCCAGGTATGATGGCACATGTTTGTAATTCCATCACCTGAGAAGCTTAGGCAGGTGGATTGCAAATCTGAGCTACCCTGCACTACACTGCAAGTTTGGAACAGCCAGTGTGACACAGTGAGACTCTGCCTCAAAAAATATATACATAAGCTGGGTGTGATGGCACATGCCTTTAAATCCCAGCCCTCAGGAGGCAGAGGCAGACAGATCTCTATAAGATGGGAGGTCTGGTCTACACAGCAAGTTCTGAACCAGCTGGGGTTACAGGGAGACCATCTCAAAACAACAACAAAAGAAAAACCCAAACAAACAAAAAAAGTATAAATAAATAAGTTACACAATCCATCCTGGCAGTACAGGCCTGTGATCCCGACCACCCTGGAGGATGAGGCAGGAAAACTGCAACCTCAAAGCTTGCTACAGTGCAAGTTCAAGGCCGGCCTAAGCAACTTAGTGAGATCCGATCTACACACACACACACACACACACACACACACACACATTTTAATTGTATATATTTATGGGGTATCCTGTGATTTTTCTACACATATATACATATGTATATGGTTCAATGTTTAAACCAGGCTAAACATATCTTTCTTAACATTTATATTTCTTTCTGATGGCAACATTTAAAATTCTTTTAGCTTTTAAAAGTATATAGTATGTTATCATTAACCACTGTCATCCTACTGTGCAGTAGCACACCAGAATTTCTTGTTCCTAACTGTAACTTAGTTCTCACTGACCAATCTTTCTTCCTTCTCTCCCCCTCACTCTTCCCAGCTAATGGCAATCACCATTCTAAACTCAACTGCTTTGAGTTTAATGTTCCTAGAATTTACATACGAGTGAGATCATATGGCACTTGTCTTTCTGTGCCTTATCACAAATGATCTCCAATTCCAATGAGATCACAGATAATAGTATTTCATTTTAATGGCTGAACTATATTCCACTGTGTATGTGTACCACATCCATGCATCAGCTGACAGACATGTAGGTTGTGTCCACTACTGCTGCAATAAACATGGGTGTATACACGTCTCTTTCCTTAGGTTATAATCCTGGTGGTAGTACCGGGCTGCTGGAACATCTGGTAGTTCTGGTTTTTTACTCTGCTTGCTTGTTTTGAGATAGAGTCTCCCCAGAGGCAGCTGGCCTAGAACTCATTATGTAGACCAGGCTGGCCTTGATCTTAGGGAGATCCACCTGCCTCTGTCTGCCGAGTGCTGGCATTAAAGGTATATGCCAGGCACCAGGCATGGATAGTTTTACTTTTTAAAAAATGAATCTCTCCTATGTGTTCCCCAGCTCTGAGGCAGACACAGAAGACTGTGCCCTGAGCTCTGTCTTAGTTATAAGAAATGCTAGTATCTGGTAGTTGTATGCTCAGGGAACAGCAGTGAGGGAGTGCTATGATGGGGAGACTGGGCTCACCCCTCACCTCCATCACTCTCCAGCCAGAACTTAAGAGTTAGTATATGGTTTCACTACCACATGGATTCAGTCAGGAGGACTTTGGTGGGTTTGGTAAAACGCAGACATTCTGGAGAACAGTGTTTTTAATAGGAAACTGTGCTCCAAACCCCAAACAGCAATCTCAACCTTCTGGAATCAATCTACAGATTGCTGAAAAGGGCAGAGGCCCATTCATAGCAAAGGCAGGACCTAGTGAAAGGGTGAATATACTGGCATTCTCTGTTTCTCCATTTTCCTGTACTGCCTTTGCTTACCCTTCTGTTTTTAATGTATTATTTACAGTTGCAAGCTTCTCAGATACTTAAGTAATTTGAATTGACAGTATACTTAAAAAGTAAAAATTCATCTTTTTTACTGATATTTATTCACAGAAGTATTTTAAAGTCAGATGCCATATAGTGTTTTATGAATCGTAGTATTAATTCTTTAATTAATGTACAAATTTCAAAATATTTTAACACATTTTTACTGCTTTTTCAAATACATAACACGTTTTTAGTGACAGTGTATATGATCTATGGAAAGTGTGTCTTTTTACATACAAGGCAACTCTTACTGTCTGCCTCCTGTTTAATTGATGCTTATTTATTAACTACACTGAAAGGCAAGCATGCTTTAGTAGGAGGAAGCCCAGAACAAAGGCGGGAAAGACTCAGTACACCTGTTTCCTTAGAACCTGACCTTAAAAGCTGAAGGAAGCCCTGGACCTCAGTGTCCTCATTTGTAAAATAATGGGAGTTGATTTTTCTCTTATTAGCAAAGGGTTATAAAAATCTCCTTTCACACTACTTCTGAAGAAAGAAGGAAACAGTTTATAGGGTTTATTGTCAACCTACTTAGTGAGGGCAGAAAAGTAGTTATTAAAACAGCACTTACATATAAAACAGGCAGACTACCAAAAGTTCAGTTATCTGTTCGAAGAACTTAGTAACCAGATTTTAGTAAAGTCATTAAGTTTTCTTGATAACTGAGGGCTGCATTTCAAACCAGAACCTTCTCTTTGATGGGGAAGTTTGCTAAGAGCTGAATGTCATATAATTATTTGTATCATTTAAAGATGTTGAATTACTTTAATACTGGCACACATCTGAATATCGAGAAACACACATATAAAGGCATTTTTTTTTTTTTAATCACCAGGTACAACACCTGAACGTGTTAACTTGGGAGAGCCATTGTGCCTCACAGCAACCCAGTGTGGCAGCTCAGAAGGTTAATGGGATCACAAGACTGATGCTTACAGCCAAGAGCTTGAACCACTTCTAATGGAGCAACATTCCCCTGAGTGCTTTCTTTTCCAAATCTGTCTGTCTCTCTCTGTCTCTGTCTCTCTCACACACACACAACACACATACACACTCCCTCAGTTATTTGGAAATTTAACTTTTTGTGTGTGGTTTCTCCTTTGGCCTCATTATCTCAACACAAGTCTTCTCCATGTGTTCTGACATCTCTCGCCAACTGTAACCAACTTCTGCGTGAGATGGCCTTCATGGACCTTGCTATTTAACCAGAAAAATGGCTTTTCTTTTACTATACTGAAACATTCTCTACAGAAGGGTCCTGGAGCCAAGCACAGTGGAGAGCACCTGTAGCTACTTGGGAGGTTCAGGCAGGAGGACTGTTTGAACCCAGGAGTTCAGGGCTAGCCTTGGCAAACACAGTGAGACTGCATCTCAACAAGTATCTTGGAATTGGTTTCGGCTCCCCAGGGTTTTGGGAGGATTCTATTTTAGGTATAGAGGCTGTATGTAGACCTTATACTCTCCTGAAAGTCTACAGGGCAATGATAGCACCAAGCCTACAGCATACAGCTTTTCTGACTTAGCAGTTCCTTGTACCTTATTGCCCATTTCTCTAAAAACTTTTTTTTTTTTTTTTTTTTTTTTTTTTTTGTCTTTTTGAGACGGGGTCTCCCTGTAGCCCCAGCTGTCCTGGAACTCACTATGTAGACCAGGCTGGCCTTGAACTCACAGAGATCCACCTGCCTTTGCCTCCCGAGTGCTGGGATTAAAGGCGTGCACTACCACACCCGGCTTCTAGAGACATTTTTAAGTAATAAAAATGACTCTAAGCTGGGCGTGATGGTGCACGCCTTTAATCCCAGCATTAGGAAGGTGGATCTTTGTGAGTTCCAGGCCATCTGGGGCTACAGGGAGACCCTGTCTCAAAAAAACCAAAAAAAAAAAAAAAAAAATAGTCTAAAGCCAAATAGTTAAAAAAAGCAATACACCCAACCAAATGGGTTGTGGGATTCTGATTCTGAGATTCAGGCCAGGCAGGGCTACACAGTAAGACCCTGTCTCAAAATCCAAACCAAACAAAAAAAACAAGGCTCCAACCAATCAAATGGCTCATTTTTCACTAACAAAGAAATGCAAATTAAATCAAAATGTCAATTTTTAAAAAATTATGACTTTTATTTTATGTGTATGAGTGTATTGCTTGCATATAAATGAGTGCACCCGTGTCATGCAATGCCGTGGAGGTCAGTTTCGGGTTCCACTAGAACTGGAGTTAAGGACAGTTTGTAGCCACCATGTGGGTGCTGGGAATTGAACCCGGGTCCTCTGCAAGAGCAGTCAGTGCTCTTAACCACTGAGCCATCTCTCCAGCCCCCAAATGTCAATTTTTTTATTTAATTAGATTCATGATATTTAATATCGATAAGTCTGTGTGAAAATAGGCTCTCTCAATGGTTATTACCATGAATGTAAAGTATCAAAACTTTTCTGAGACTATATGCATTAATGCAAATGTTTACTAACCAGTATCCTAGGAACATTACTTCTAGGAATTTTTCTCTTAAAAACACACACACATAAGGACATATATTATGTCCCACAGTATATTGTTTTTAAATAAAAATCAGACTAAATTTTCATCAATTAATGATTAACTCAGCACATATGATGGGTTACTATTAAGTCACAGTATTTGCATGCTTACAAGAAGTACTGAAAAAACATTACCTTTTTTAAAAGAATATTTTATTCATTTAGTGTGTGTATGCGTGCATGCAATCGTGTACATGTGGAGGTCAGAGGACAACTTCCGGGGTTGGTTTTCTCCTTCCACCATGTGGGACTTGAGGATGGACCTCAGGTCACCTGGCTTGGCAGCAATTGCCCTTTGCCCATTGAGCTTATCAGGTCCAATTTGTGGTTTTTAAAGAGTTGTATAGCCCTGGCTAGCCTGGAATTCATTATGTAAATCAGGCCAGCCTTAAACTTATGATCCTCCTGCCTCAACATAAATCCAGGGATTACAGGCATGAACCACCATGCCAGGCCAAGACGTTACAGTTTTACAAACAAGATTAGAGAACAGTAGTGCCTATGATCTTTTGATGATCCTAAAAGTACAGAGACACTCAAAATTGTTAAGTTTTAAAAAAGATAGGAATATTTAGGAACTGATTTTCTGTAAATCTGTATTAACATTAAAAAAAAATTTATTATTTTTATTTTATGTGTATGAGTGTATTGCCTACATGTATGTGAGTGCATCCATGTCATGCATTGCTGTGGAGGTCAGAAGAGAGCTTTGGATTTCCCTGGAACTGGAGCTAAGGACAGTTTGTAGCCTCCATGTGGGTGCTGGGAATCAAACCCGGGTCCTCCGCAAGAGCAGTCAGTGCTCTTAACTGCCGAGCCATCTCTCCAGCCTTGTATTAATATTTTTTAAAAAACATGAATTTTGGGCTGGAGAAATGGCTCAGCGGTTAAGAACACTGGTTGTTCTTGTAGAAGACCAGGGTTCGAATCCCAGCACCCACATAAGCAGCTAACAACTGTCTGTAACTCTAGTCCCAGGGGATCTGACAGGTTCTTCTGACCTCCACAGGCATTGTATGACACAGGTGCACTTACCTACATGCAAGCAATATACACATACACATAAAATAAAAATAAGATCCATGGTGGAAATTAAAAAAAACAAAAACAAAAAACCAAAAAAAACTCCCATGAATCTTCTACTTCTTAAAAGTTTTTTCACTGTCCCTTCATCCCCCTAAGCACATCCGTAAGGCATCATTTCAAAACTGCTGTTGAAATTATCTTGATTATAATTTTAACTACTACTATACCATAATATCCCTAAGACTTTGCCTTTCACTATAACAATCTTCTACATTTAAAGGAAGGAAAAAAAAAAATCAAACATTTTAAAATGGTGAATTCTAGGAGTGATAAAAATACCAGGGAAAGGGAGATTCCAAGGCAAACAGTTGCACTTTCGTACCACCACAGGTGCCCTGGGGATTCAGTCAAGGTGAACCCAAGTCAAGTCTTCGAACGCATACAGCAATGTCACTTTCAGAGACTAGTAAAGAGCTGGTTGTGGCTGCATATATATCGATAGGATATGCTACAGAGACTTAGTGTAAGGGAATGATCAAGCATATGACAGATAAGAGGATGTTTACCACAGTTTTTTGTATCATGGGGGGTTGGAGGAAGGGAGAAGTGACGTGGGAAGCACAGGAAACCACGAGGTATTTAGATAAACCACGAGTCTGCTCATCCACAGCTTGCTATCTTCATCTCAGAAAAGGCCACGCATGGATAGAAGCAGGCTACAAACAATATTTACACCATAACCTCAATTTTGTGGAGTGTATAATAACGAAATACGAAAGATCAGAAGCACATAAATCAAATTTTTAGTCTAAGAATCGATGGTGAAACAAGAAAATAATAAAGGAAAAATTAATGGCAAATTATAAAGGATTTCCTTCTTTAGATGTTTTTCTTTTTCATCAAGAGTTTCTTTTTATAAATTCTTTTTCTTCTTTTCATGTGTATGTGTGTATGGTGTAATGTGTATGTGTGTTCTCATGTGTGGGCATACATGTATGTGCGGGTGCAGCAGTGTGAGCGTGTGGTGGCCCAAGGCTGATGCCAGGATCTTCCTTGACTGTTCTTCCACCATGGATCTTTCCAGTAAACCCAGAGCTCCCATAAATGCCTAGTCTCACTAGCTTGCTGGCTCCAGGCATCCCCTGTCTCCATCCTCCCAGGCTGGAATTACAGGAGGGCTGCCATGTCTGTGCAATATTGCAGGTCAAGTGCTTTAACCCGAGTCACTTCCCCAAGCACCAAAAGGTTATATATACGAAGCAAAACTTTTCACTAATTCTGACCTACTTTTACCCAAATTAGTTCATTATTAACAAGATTTTACAAAATGTTTTATTAATTATATCCCCTCTAAAGAAAAAGAAATATCTTTGAAATTCACACAAACCTTTGCCTCAGTCAAAACATTAGTATAAGTTCATTACAGAGCTTGTTTAACCAATGTCAAAGATAACATACCTGAAAATAGTTACTGAGTCCGAGAGGGAACCAACAGCAACATCAGGGTAGGAATTCCTATCCAGGTCCATATTCCCAGCAATGGAATATCCGAAGTAAGGTGATGTACCCTCAAGAATCTGGAATACACAGGAGGTTAGAAGGACCTAGGCCACCAAATGAGCTGCTGTCTACAGTTTGAGAAAGACACAAAAGGACTAAGGAAGTAGCTCAGTGGTATAGTGCCTGCCCATTATGGGCGAGGCAGAGTTAGATCCCCAGCATCACACACACACGCGCATGCGTGCACAAATTTTAAAAAAGAAAAAGATTCTTTTGAACAAAATTTTCAGTTTACTTGTAAATAAATTCAATCACATTATAAATAATGTTATCTATTATTCTGTGTATTTTATTTCATGAAAAGCCATCTAATTTATACAATATTCCAAAGGATAAAAGTCAACTTTTGATACCTGTTTCCCATATTAAGCTACTCAAGGGAGTTCAGGTCAAGCCTCACTAACCGTTCTCAAGTCTTATTTTCAAAAGCAATTTAAAATGTTTGTGGTCTGAATTTTCTGTGTCGTGTTTGCCCAGTTTCATTTCTAATAAGCATGCTGCTAAGGGAAACAGACTATAGGCCACCTCCTCCGACACTCAGGAGGGAGAACAGTCTTTTGCTCTGGGTTACTTTCATTTCCTAATTTAGTTAAGAAATTTTAGCCCGGTGTGGTGGCACATGCCTTTAATTCCAGCACTTGGGAGGCAGAGGCAGGCAGATCTGTGAGTCCAAGGCCAGCCTGGTCTACATAGCAAGTTCCAGGTCAGCCGGGGCTACAGGGAGACCCTGTTTTAAAAAAACATAAAAAAAAAAAAAAAAAAAAAAAAAAAAAAAAATTCTTTTCTTTTCTTCTATATACTCATACATATAAGATAAAAATAATAAATAAAGTATTTTTTAAAAAGAAACTTTACAATGAAAACAAACAGGCAGAACATTTGTGTATTTCAAAGCCATCTTCTAGTGGTACTTAAAACATCTACACTATTGTATACCTGAAACTGAAATAGGTGTGGAAATTTACTTAGACCCAAATAGTATATAACTAAAACTAAGCAAAAAGCTGAGGCTCTCATTGTAGAGAGCAGGGTTATCTTGTTACCTGTGTTGGTTTGGTATTTATTCCACTTGAAGATCCATGATAGATAAAAACCTTTCCCAAATCGTCATAGGGTGCTCCAACCGCAATATCTGTTGACATCACATTTAAAAAACATGATCATTTAAAAAATACGCTAATATCTTAAAGTAAGAAACTATAAGCACTCACTATACGCCCAGACAATCTACCTCTGACTCATAACCATTTCACAATCTATTATCCACCTGGATAGCCATCTTGATTAATATCTCCAATATTTTTTACTGCAATTCCAAACATAGAATCTTTGGTTCCATTAAGACGAATTGGCTTCACATTCTTCCATCTGCCTTCCTGGTTAATGTAGACATACACTGCACCTCCAACTTCTCCATCCCTGTCAAAATACTGCGGAGCTCCGATAACTATATCTTGCCACCTAAAAACATAATTAAGGGAAGAATTGTGAACCTCTGGCTAAAATTCCAACAGGCTTAGAGAAAATACTACCAGGTCTAGGTTCTAAGGACACAGAAACACAACAGAAAGGGTCTTAAATTAAGCACATCCTCTCAATTACAATATTTAGCAGAGGACCAATGTAGCCTATGATAAATGCCCAAGAAAAATAGTGAGGGTAGGCATTCAAAGCCAGTTTCTCAAGCTAGAGCCACATTACACAGGACTTTGTCACTGCCCCATCACTACTCCCAATGGCACCAAGAACATTAACTCTCTATGTTTAGTCATGGTCCCCATTCTCTACTTTCCATAAGTCATGCTCCAACAGGCCCTCCAAAAAACTACACAACAGAATCATGTCGTTAATGTCATTTTCTGGGTGATTTTTTAAAAATTTCATATTCCCATGGAACTATGATCCCAAGACATGAGTGATGAATGTCAGCTGTCATCTTAGCAATGGTTAAGATGTGACAAGATGGTGAAAAATCTGGCAGTCAACACATTTTTTTGGGGGGAATCAACTCACCTGAATGGACAGCTCTTCTTCAGACCTACAGAAGCCAGTCAGAGCAGCAACATTAGCAGTATAAAATAAATGAAGATATTCTTACCCATCTTTGTTGAGGTCCACCACTGCCACATCATAGCCAAATGAAGATGCCAGACCTTCTCCATCAAATATATACTCAGGGAGAAGATGTGCAGATTTCATGTCTCTTTTTAGCAGAACCACAGCTCCACTGTGATTGGCTCTCGGAGCACCAGATACAAAAGTGATCTCATTTTTAGAAACAATACCTTTCCCTGAGTCCAAGGAAAAGCCTAGAAAAACAAAATAGAGCCTCTCACATCCATCTTGTGTTTCAGAAACTACACAGTGCTGGTAATTCATCATTACCATCTTTCCCTCTGGAGTTCCACCCAGCTCTCCTCCTGAACCTCCCCATCTACTCTCATATTTACAAAAGGAGCTATTTTACTGCTTCATATGGATATTAAGATCTTTTGAAGAAAAGTTTTATGCTATCAAGCATTTGTATAATTTGAATTATGAGGTATTCATGCATCTTAAGAGTCAATTTGAATCCTATTCTGCTACTAAAACTATGGTAAAGGAGAGCAAGCAAGACACTTGTCACATGGGAGTGTTTCATCATATGCCCTTTATTGAGCACATGTTATAGGGTTCTGCTGTAATGTAGCAACCAGCAGTTTTACATGAATAGCATCCATACTGTTGGTCTAGTTGGTAATCAGGCAAGAACAGATGTTAACACCAGCAGTATGGCACCAGAGATGGCGTCTCATTACTTTGGGAAAACTTAGGTCTCAGACACAAACATGCAAACAAAACCATGCATAGTAATACACAGCATTTGAGAACCTCGTATCAACAATAGAGGTGAATTGGCTGTCACTGGGATCAGTTACGTATTTGTTCAAAGGGCAGACAACATGGGAATAGCCAATTAGAAAGTCTCAAGTAGCATGTCAGATGACAGACACAGATTTGCTAGGATAGCATATATCAATAAATACCCATTGCCAAAACTCCTCAAATGAATCAAACCTTTCTGTATAAAAGCGTGGCAGATACAGAATAACGTAAGTTCACCCTTTTTATTGGGTTTTCTTTATAAAAAGCATCACCACTACTGTTGCAGTTCTCAAATTGTGAAGTGAGTTGAAAATATGATGAGCCACAAGTTTAGAGCAAGGCGATATAATTGAATCCAGCTCTGAAACCCGCGTGGCAGCAGAACCTCAAGCACGGCATGCTTTGTGTGTGTGCTTCACTTGAAATGAAATAGAAAATAAAAAGATTTATGCTCTGTATGGAACAAAAAAATTTTTAAATGACCATGACCAAGGCAATTTATTTGTCATCTCAGAGGTCACAAACCTAGGTAGCTATTCATCATCACATCAGGGGCTGTGTCAGGCCGCTCCCTGGGAGGCCGTGTTTTATAAACAAACTGATCAGGATCTGTATAAGAAATGCTGGTCAAAAACAGCAGGCCTGTACACATGCACAAGATGGGAGAGATTGAAGAAAAAACAATTATGCTTTCTGCTTGGTGAGGGCCCGATGGCAGCAGCCATTCTTGCTGGAGGATGAGGGCACCACCAAATCATGCACGCTGCCCTCCTCGATAGCTTCCAAAAGTAGGCAGATTGTTTACATCCCATACCCACTGATCTTCTGAAATGACAACCTCGCAGCACACACCAGCAAAATGTAACAACACAAACTTGACTTCTTTCTCTGATATCGACTTTTAAGGAAATCCAGTCTAACAGAAGCAAATGTGTTTAAGAAAAAAAATACTTCACAGTTCCCTATGTTCTACCAGCAGCTATGCTTATGAAACCCTGAAGCATCTGAAAGACCAAACTGATTTGTTGTTGGTGAGAACAATTAATATTAAATGCCTCTCATCATAAATAATCCCTACATAATACATTTGAATTAAGAGAGGTTGCTGGTTAATATATGTCCAAATAGAGTACTGGTTTGTGCTATTTTCCTTGAAAAGACTTTTACCTTGACACTCCTTGCCCATGAGCTCCTTTCTTGCCCTGCAAGGTCACTAGGAGACCATTCATGCATCCAGCTACTTCCCAGATCCTTGATTTTCACAAGTATCTCTCCCTTTGGCTGGGGGGATTATTAATGGTATGACCTTGGGCTAGAAACTTAAGCTCCCAGAGTCACAGCATTACTCACCAGTAAACAAAGGGAGGGAACAATCTTTTATTAGTGAAGCATGGAAAGCACAGAGCACCTGACTCACATAAGTAACAGGTGCTTAGCAATAAGCAATGCATATAAATGTCCTTTTCCTTCTATACCTGCTTATCAGATGTGTATTTGAAGGGATATGGTATATGAATTGGAAAGTGTTTCTTTTAATTATCAGTACTGTTCATGTGTATTCATACAATTAGAGGAACTTATGGTATGTTTACTCTAGCCTATTGTTTGGAATTATTTACACATCCATGCCTGCTTTTTTTAACCTTCTATTGTTCCAGTGATATCTACAGCCATATGCACACTTTTCTCTCCCACTCATCATTTTAAAAAATAGGTTACTATGTAGGTTTAGAAGATGTTTTACATTTTTTTCCAAGAAATGCACAGTAATTATTCTTTATGTCAACTCATACCAAGAATTAAAGCTTTTAAAAGCCTTTGCGTAATTACCATAATGCACAGGAATAATTTAGGACACCATTAGTAATGCAAACAAGCCTCAGGAGTTAAGGAATTGGCACTTAGACACAATCTGGGTGTCCTCTGAGCCACGTTAGCAGAACTGCTTGGCCTCATCCGGAGAGCCCCTGTACCACCCACCCAGCCCTCTGACATGGGAGCCCCAATTCCAGATGCAGAGTCAAGCCTTGGAGAATGGCAATCACCAAAGAAGGACCTGGAAGCCTTGACCTGCCACTTAAAAGTAACTTTGTAAGTGGAGCTCTTAAGAGTATCTTGAGAAGTCTACTGTTAACATCCCCGGCATTTTCTTATGGCAAAATGAAGGGCCTAGTGTGGAGACAAGGGTTCGTTTTGGAGCGGGAAGACATGATTTGGGGGATAATGATATATTCTTCCTGTTTTGAGGAACCATAGGCCAGAAAAGAGGAGCCAGCCAGCAGGCAGCTTGCTTCTACATCTCCAAGCACACCAAGGTGAGGTCAAAGCAGAGATGCTCTGGTGCCCACCTGGCCTGTTAGCCTGTGGGTTCTTGGAAGGAGAATCACACAGTGTCTGAAATAGGCATACCACCTCTGCTCCTTCCTACCTAAGTAACTGTTAGCAGGAACAGGCACAAGACTTTCATCATGGTCAGTCTCTCCACCAACTTCATAAGGCCCATCTTCAAAGATGTTCATATCAAAAAAAGTGTTATTCTTTTGCTCTACACGAACAATTCCTAAAGGAATGAAATGGAAAACAACAGCAACAAAAAAATAAAGATGAAACAAAATAAAATAAATGGTTCCTAATAAACATGCCCCATGCTATCAGGGAGAACAAGAAGAAAGATTTGGAATAAAGAAAGAAGGAAGAGGTGACTTTCAAGGTTGTTAAACATGGTCATGTCAACTTTTATGTGAAAGAAATTTGTTCTAGGAATAAAAAAAAATGATCTATGCATTTTAATGAACTATCTTTATATTACAATGAAATTAGATGGAAAATGCAACATTTGCTTAGTCAACAAAATATACAGAAAAACAAATCTAAATGACACAGACTTTATATAAATAGTACTTTATGATCTCTATAATCCCCCACTGTCTCCTTTTCTGTAGTGTAAAAGTGAAATTAATATACTAATCTCTACAAGTTATTTTAACCAAAATTTCATCTCTTAAAAATTCTTACTATTATTAAAAATACCTCACTATATCAAAGCATAAATCACAATGTCCTTTTAAAAATGACAGCATTTTAAGTTAGGGTTGATAAATCAGAAGACTTATTTTTCCATGAATTAAATTATTTCTAATTAGTGTTTTTACTGTTCTGTCTTACAACATAATGACATCTGTTCTTGCCAAAATAGAACTATTTCTAAATTCAAAATATTAATTCGATTAGGTAAAAACAGCCTGACAGTTTTGGTTATATGAAAGACTGTCAGAGATGTGAGTAGGGAACAAAGGAAATTACTCTCAGTGTTAAGAAAAAGAATTGATATACAGAGGGCCATGATCTTAAGAAAAAGAATTGATATACAGAGGGTCATAATCTCAAGAAACATTTTTAGGAACAATTAAAACTAGGAATTGCTAGGCATGGTAGTACATGTCTTTAATACTAGTACTTATGAGGCAGAAGCAGGAAGATCTCTGACTTTAAGGCCAGCTGTCTACATAGTGAGTTTCAGGCCAGTGAGGACTACATAATGAGATCCTGTCTCAAAAAAAGCAAACCCTCAAACAAATAAACAAACAAAAAACCCAACAAAAAACAAAACCTAGGAAGAGTGTGAGTGTGTATGTGTGAGTGTGTGTGTGTGTGTGTGTGTGTGTGTGTGTGTCTATGTGGCACTAGAACAATTGAACCTAAGACCTTTCACAGCCGGGCAAGTGCTCTACCACTGGGCTACATCCCCACTCCTCTTTTTCTTTTTTCCATTTTATTTTCTGTGTATGAGTGCATTGCCTGCATGTGTGCAAGTGCACCTGTGCCATGCAATGCCTGCAGAGTTAGAAGAGGGTGTTGGATTCCCTTGGAACTGGAATTACAGATAGTTGTTGGCCACCTTATGGGAGCTGGCAATTGAACCTGGGTCCTCTGCGAGAGCAGCTGGTGCTCTTAACGGGTGAGCCATCTCTCCAGCACCCCCCACTCCTCTTTGTTGAATCTCCCTGTAGCCCCAGCTGTACTGGAACTCACTATGTAGACCAGGCTGGCCTTGAACTCACAGAGATCTGCCTGCCTCTGCCTCCCAAGTGCTGGGATTAAAGGCGTGCACCACCACTCCTGGCCTCCAAAAAGTTATTGTGTGTGTGTGCATGTGCATGTGCATGTGTGTGTGTACATGTGCATACAGAGGCCTACAGAATCCAGAAGAGGGTGTGAGATCCTCTGGGACTGGAGTTATGGGTGATCATGAGCTCCCTGACATGGGTGCTGGGAACTGAACTTGGATCCTCTGTAATAGCAGCATGTATTGTTCACCACTGAGCCAATCACCACCCTCCTCTTTTTATTTTGAGATAGGATCTTAATAAAATGAAGAGGCTTCCTTGAACTTGTGTTCCTCCTTCCTTAGTCTCACAAGTAGCTAGGATTACAGGCCTGCACCACCAGACTAGGCTTAAAACTTGGAAAAGAGAAAAATATTCCTTAGCTTTTCCTGACTCATGAAAATACTATGATATATTTTCATTTCTCAAAAAGTTTTATTTCCAAACCAGATGTGTATCTCTTCATCATGGAGTAGAACTTGGCTGCATTAGAATACAGCAGCTTTTATATCTGCTTAATTTTTCAGAGAAACTGAATTTTATTAAAGGAACTGACCAGACTCATCTAACTCTAAAACGTGGCTGATTCTCCTCCCTCCCACTTTCTCCTTTTCCCATCACAACAGCAAATAATATTGTCAACCAACTTTATTTCTTATTATTTCAAACATTGTCTCAGAACTCCCCAGTCATCTGTTCTCTTAACTTACTTTGTTTAGTCAAACATGACTTCTAAGATAATAGATAATGAAATGTCCATATTAACACGGTTCTTTGTGGATGGCCCTTAATCCTACTTGGTTTTCATATCACTAACTTAAAATGAGAATTCCTAGCTTCAAGGAACAAATATAAAACAATAAAGCAACTAATTATTAAATTTTCAGAGAAAAAAACTACTCTCACTAATATAAAATATTACTAGAAGGAAAAAAAACTCAACCTTAAAACCATTTCCATTATTGTTAAAATTCACAGCAGAGATTTTGATATCCTACCCACTTTTATAATATACAAACATTTTATAGCACATTTAAAATGCACTAAACCATGGTGCATAGTACAGGGATTTTACTGATAATAGGTTTCTTTCTATAAATATAAAGGACACACCTTTCCAGTTATAAGTACCCGGGGCTCCAAACACAATGTAATGAAAGTCTTTAGTGAAAGTGGCTGCTACACCTTGCTGACAAGAACCAAATTTTTCATGGCCTCTCAATCGGCCATCACAAAAACTCCAGTCTCCTCCATCCATATCATCTTCAATCTTGAGGTTCTGACTCAGGACATAACACCTTCCAAAGATGTCTCGAGACTCCTGCTTTGTATTAACATGTTGCCTTTTTTCATACCGATGAGCACATGTCTGCAAACAAGTGCAAATATTCATGTCTAAACCTTGTTATTTAAAAATTCATAGAACTGGTAAACTTAGCAATAATAAAGAGATTAATTCTAAATAAGATGGTTAAACATGTCCTCATTCTAAGATTGGATCCCAAAGCAGCAAATTTCTTCCCAAATGCCATTAAGGAGGCCATTAACAAGCACAGAGGAACCATGACTTCTCACTCTCATTCAAAGAGTAAAGTTCCAATCCAAATACCGAAAAGCCAGTCTATAGTCACAGGCCATTTATCTATAAATTCACCTGTCATGTAAACAAAGGAACATCTTCTTAGTTCATTTTCTTAACTTAATTGGCTTTTAGTGGTTATAAAACCTCCACACCTATATGAAAATAATTATGTTCTAGAAAGAAGCATGGGCATATTTTCATAGAGATCAAGTGAACACAGCTAAAACAAAGACATGTTCTTTCTACCCACATTATTTCCTTATAATAGGTCCTAGTTTATATTCTGAGCTCTCAGATTATTCTCTATTTTTAAGAGGAAGAAAGAATTATCCTGCCAAAAGAGATAAAATAATCTCTGTAATTTCTACAGGGGATTCATGGCTTCCATGTAACAATCCGGATGTCTGAAGATACAACATCCAAGTTCGTTTCCCATAATGCGTCCCTTAAGTATAAATACTCAATGCTCACTAAGATTCGTATTTTTTTCAAATTTCTGGACAAATTTTGTTACAGCATCCAGATTATGAAAGAAAAACAGAAAGATCACCACATTATAAGGAAGAGTAAAATTTCTTGATGTTACTTTCCAAGACTATTCCCATATTTAGTTCCTGTGACAGAAAGTTGTGTATAGTTTGGCTTTGCTTTTGTTTGAAGACCATGTAGTGATTTAGGGATATTCAAAAAATGTTAAGTTCTTTGAATCTGAACACTTTAAAGAAAAATAAGTTGCAGGGCTGATTCAAGGTATGTCAGAAATCACAGGAGAAACAAAGGTTTGGTTTCTTCTTGGCATCAGTCCCCTCCTTAGAGCAGTTTAAAGCCCACTGGAGCCAGGAGTTCTAAGTTTTGTCCGCTGCTATAAGCCCATAACTAGGACAGCACTGAGGAATGGACACACTTTTCTACACTTACCACCACTTTGCCCCCTGGACCTTGACTCTGGACAGTGACCCCCATCCACTGATCTTCCTTGCTTTCCGACATAGGGTCAGCTGTGAAAAGCAACATGGGTTACACAGTTAGTACCTTCCAAGTGACTGACAGGTTATGAATGAACAGGGGAACAAAAAATGTAAGGAGTCACTTCCAAACTGTCTTAACGCCGAGTCTAGCTATTCAGTAAATTCTACTTAATCTAGAAAAATGATTTCTTATTTCAAGAGGACAGAAGAATGAATGGTTACTGAGTGGCTCTTTTAAAAGTTCTATACATAAGATACTCAAAAACTGTGTAAGACATGGCCCTCCAAGAGATACCCTTTGAAGCAGCAATGTAAAATCCAGCCTTTGAGATCTAACTACAATCCAAACTAACTAAAAGTTAGTGTTTTTCTATTTACTCCTCAATTTTGTATATAACAGCATGAATTATTCTTTTCTTAGCCAGAAAGAGAGGGTGGAAAGAAAGACATAAAAAACCTTGAACCCACTGAGAAGTGACATCGCTCATCAACATTTAAAAGGAAAGAAATGTAGTCATTTTTGGACCAAGGGAGCGAGTATAAATACCATCATGTATTCATAGGAGTATCAATTAAACCTACTATATGACCCCTTTATTTTTGCCTTCCTTTATGAGAATCAAATATTAAAGAGTACGTATAGGCACTGAGATTATTAGTCATATTTTGCATTTTCTTCCTTTATATATCTGTGTATTTACAACTTTCCTGCAGTTAATGTGTATTATTTCCTAATGGGTAAAATAATGTTATTCCTAAAAGACAGAAACTTTATAAGTATGAGCCTGCATGTAAACCTAGGTCCCTCATCAAGTAAGCTTTCTTAGAAGCTTCTCAGAACACTAATGGCTCTGTTCAACCTACAGAAAATCAGGGAAATCAGATGGTAACACATCTGGCCTACATTATGGCATCTTCCAGCTACCGAGAGGCCTCATAAAATGGGATATGAAAATAAATGGAAAATAAGCCTGTCTCTAACAGAACTGGAATGATTCTGGTGTTTAAAAACATTCTTCACAGATCAAGGACAGTGTATGGGACTCCATAGAACATGTGCCACTTCCAACACTGCATGGAAAAAAATTACCAGATTACAGTTAATAGGTACGACATGTCAATTTCTAACACTGGGTCCTCCTGAGGATTTTCAAGAGTCATTCTGATGGCACCTTAGTTCATCAGTTCATGTATCAGAGTCTATCGGGAAAATACTATTCCTGTTGATCAGCTCTCATGTTAGAGTGCCCTCATACTTAAAATAGTCTCTCAGGGTTGGAGTAGCAGCTTTGTGGTAGAGCACTTGCCTAGCAAGCATAGGGCACTGGGTTAGAGTCCCAGCATTGGAAAAATAAAGAGAAATAATAAATACTAAATAAATGTGTAATAAAATAAATAATAAGTAATAGATAAGAGAAAAATAGATAAAATAGTCTTTCTCTCAAATATTTTAACAAGTGGTGCTTTGACTGCTTGAGTATTTTTTAGGAATAATGTTTGCTATTTTTACTGATTCAGGCTCATTTAATTTTCTTCACTATGAATCCAGTTTTGCAACAGCCTCAATGTAACACTAGGTGGCAACATGAATACACTATTTTAGTTAACAAACCAGGGTAAGCAGAGGCAACAAAATGACTCATTTCAGTGTGATTTAGAAAGTAAGTATTTTCAGGGCCAAAAAACAGTCAAGTCTGATGCAGTTAGAAGAGGTCCTCTCTGCAAGAATACACGCTTGTGACTCCTGTCCTTCATATGGAAAGTCAAGTATGGTACAGGGAGGCTGGCCAAATGATGGGCGGTGAGGGCAGGACACACCATCATTATCAAATTCAATCCGCGTGCAAGGTCCCTGGGAGGTGATGTCACAGCTGTACAGGCCCCCAGTTCTGTTCGCCCTCTGCAGCGGAAGGGCTTCTGCCCGAGGTGCCCCCACGAGCAACCTGGTGACAAAACAAAGAATTTGGGGATTTAAATGTAATATACTTTAAACATTTAGATTAGTAAGAACCCAGAGCTATCAGTATTATTCTTTACCATGGGATTCACTTATTTTTCAGCAGCTCAGAAGTGAGGGAGAACAAAGGTAGAGCCCTGTGACTGGCCTGTGCAACAACATAAGCAAATGCACCCTCAGGGATGAGGCACAAAGATGAGAGATTAAAAACAAAGGGAAAAGGAGCTTGTCTCTCACTCACAGAACCAACAGCTGTACTAGGTTTGATTTTGGTGTTTAAAACACTTTTCTTAGAGCATAGACAGTGTACAGGACTCAACAGAACAACTAACACTTCCAACTTTGGGTGGAAAACAACCATCACGTGACATTTAATAAGTAGATTATGTTGGTTTCCAACACTGGACCCTCCTGAGGGATTTTTCCAGTGGTCACTTTGACTACACACCTAACTTTACAGCAGTTCACCTACAGATTTAGAATCCACCTTTTGCCCAAGATACAACACAACTAAATTATTCATGCAGTCTCTGTCTCTCTTTTTTTCCTTCTTCCCCAGCTTTACTGGGGGATATAACTGACAAGTGGGCATTTAAAGTACAGAACTTTATGTTCTGTCTTCTCAGTTTACTATGGGCATCTAAGACAAACTCCTTCCTTATCAACCAGTCTCCCACAGGGATCAGTGCCAGGTGAAATATATTTCCTCTTCCCTTCCACCCTACTCTCCCCCCTCCCCCGAGAAGCAGCCTCTAATCCAAACTCGTGATCTTCAAAATGTTGTTATTTCACCCCCAATAAGGCTCACTCACCATCCAGTTTGCCACCTTTGGGGTCTGCTTGACTAATGGGACAACCAGAACAAGAAACAAAAAGCAAGAACACATGTCTGACCGCACAGAGAGAAACAGAGGCCGAGGTTTTGGACTGGGACTGGGAAAACAGCTGGGAACAGAGGCCTGCACAAACAGCAAGCCTTCAGAACAGAGAGCAAGCCATGCCTGGCCCCTGAGAAGCCCACAGTCAGGTGCAAAAGGAACAAAGCAAATACAATTCCTACCACCTTCTCCCTGCTGGGATGCCAGTAAAGGCTTCTGTGTACTAAATGGATACCCTGCAGCAGGTGCAGCCAGGGGGAGGGGAAATCATATCCTCCCAGAAGCAGGAGAATGACGGTGGCTTCTGGGGGAACAAGTGGCCCCCAAATGGCCCTTACTCTCAGCTCCCTGGGCAGGTGAACCCCCACATCTGAAGTAATAAAACAGCACTCACTAAGGTCCAGAACCAAAGCAGACTTAGAGGGGCCAGCAGTGTCCTTGGTATTGGAAGACTTCTCAGTAGAGGGCAAGGCCAGGTCACAGGAGTCCATACCACACCTGTCCCAGTAACTCTGTCCCTGCCCTCAGGAGCTCCAATGACTATTTGAGAGGCATGATGGCCTTAATCATGAAGTGAGCAGGTTTAGTTGCTTGGGCAGTTGTGGGAATGAACCCTGTGCTGCGTACCAGGAGGAATAAGCAAAGTGGGCCCCCAGGCATACACAGAAGCTGAGGGAGCCTGCACTACAGTATGCTGAACTGCAGTTCTCACAGCCTGTGGGTAGCCAGGATGGAAATCACCTTGGAGCACTATCTCCATTCCTTCAGAATGCTTCCAAGAAACACAACTCAAGACTTTAAAACTTTAAACCAGGTTGAAAAAGCAAGCTTTTATCAATGAAACATTGAAACATCTGTATGTTGACAGATTTAACATTAATTCCTAACAAGTTGAGAGAAGAAAGAATCAGGGCCCAACTGCAACTGGGTTAAGAGTAACCAACTGCCAAGGGGCAGCTATGAAGTACAGCTCAGTGAGCCTAGGTTGTATTTTTTCCTCTTCTCTAACCACTTCCTTGTTACACACACATGCTAGGGGCCGCTAAACTACCTACAGGTAAGGCAGGCTTGTTTCCTGTTTACTCCTTCATTGATTCACTTACTCTTCAAGAGCCCCCAAAATGCATAAGGAATGGCTTTCCAAGTTGAACAAGGAATTGCTTCCAAACCCTCGCTCCAGTGGGAGTGCAAGATCCATAAATAGGTCATAAAACCACAAGGAGGTAGAGGGAACAAAAGGACAAGTGTTTTGTGGTCAACTGCCTCTGAGGGAGTGTCACCAGAAGGTGACCGCAGAGCTGGACATGGCAGAGGGAGCACAGCCCACACAAAGCCATTTGCTTCTAGGTAAGGAGCTAGATGATATGGGGGAGTAAAGCCTGACAAGTTGGGCTGGAGATGGACAGCCTGGTGGGTAGTCTTGACTCAAGGGAGAAGTGTCAGAAGCAGCCCCAAGGAGCCTCAGGCTTTAGTCACCTCTTGAACCTTTCTGAGTCACTGCATAGGACAGGGGCTCCAAGGTTTCCTGCGATTTAAAAAACCATGGAGAGGCTGCAGAGATGGCTCAGTAGTTAAGAATGCTTGCTGCTCTTCCAGAGTATGAGTTCAGATCCCCATAGTCAAGTCCAATGGCTCACAACTGCCTGTAATTGCAGCTTCAGAAATCCAATGCCCTCTTCTAGCCTCCACTGTACCCACACATGTGGTGTGTGCAAGTGCGTGCACGTGCATGTGCACACACACACACAAAATCTAAAAAAAAGCTGTAGAAGTTGATCCCCCCGCCCACCCCAGGAGCAAGCCTTCATAGTGGTAGGCTTTCTCTAACCCTTCTCTCCTTGGTCCCTGGTCTCTTCTTTCTTCATCCTGGAAGCTGACACGCATAGAGCAAAGAGCAACATGAAAAGCTGGTCACAAGGCCTGTGGCAGACAAGATTTCTCAAGTGTCAATGTCACATTCTTGTACACAAGGCCCTCCCATTTTACCTGAGGTAGCTACTGCAAATGAAAGTGGACCACACAGAAAGGAGGGGGCAGCAGGGCTGTGTGGAGGATAAAGACAATAAATTTGAAGAGAATACCATAAAATAATAGCTATGCGCCTATGGGGGATGGTGCCAGCTGTCACAGTGCCTCCCTTGGGCTCTGCCTGCATGGATCTTTACACAGTCTCCACATCTTTGGGTGCATCCCATAAGGGACAAAACAGGAGGGCACTTGGCTGCCCTCTGGATCCCAAGGCAGCTGTAGGTGGGAGTGCCTGCCAGCAGAGGGCGCCTCCAGAACCACACGGCCCTGATCAGGTGCAATGGGAGTTACAGAAAAGCACAAGCTGTCCCAACCTCCCCAGCAACTGGCAGGAGTTTCACTCTCAAAGCCTACCTGCCTGGTTTGGATATAAGCAAAAGCTCTTCATCTATCTCACTTGGAACTGGCCTTAAACATAGGATGTCACTGTCCATTAGCTGAGGCTACCTCTGTTGGGGACTCCTGCTGTGTAAAGTAGCAGTCTCTTCATGTCCGGAAAGCCCACGGGCTCGGATTCAAATGCAGAGACTCCTTTTTTCCTGTGTGATTTTTCTGGCAGTCTGGCAGCCTGGCAGGAGCTTTCCGCCACATGTAAATGGGGCATCCTAAAAGTACCTATCAGCTAAGGTTTTTACTCCCACCCCCACGGTATAAAGTGTCCTGGTTTTTCCTCAATAATTGAAGCTGGAGCTGGATCACCAAGACTTGGAGCCGAGCTGAGTCACTGAATAAAGAGCTGTAACACGGACTAAGCTGAGTCCCGTGTCTTATTGCCTACGATCCAGCCTCCCCGGGGGGCGCTATCCTTCCGTCATCATCGACTCAAGGAAATCCAGCTTTAGCCGTCCCGCACCTCTCCTCGTGACCCGGCAGCTGATGGGCCCCGAACTTAGAGAGAGAGTGCACGGGTGAAATTGGGGCAAAACTCCAGCCTCGGTAGCAGAGACCCACAGCGGAGAAGCAGGGGCCCGCCAGCAACGCAGGGCAGATGAGCTGCGGGACCGCCGCCCTCCAGGTGCGCGCAGGGGACCGTCGCCACGCTAGCAGCTGGCGCCCCAGGATCCCTGCGCACCCCAAATACTTCTATCAGGATGAAAAAAATAGAGCAGTGTCCAAACAGTGACACCAGGGAAGTCACTTTGGGCTGTGGTGTGGATTTACAGCACTCAGCACACTTTGCTTCCTGAGCTGCCAGGTGCACCAAGGTGTGGAGGGATAACCCACATCAAAGAACCCCTCAACTGGTGCCCAAATCTGGGTTCTGGGCAAATCCCAGTTCTTTCTGGTTCCTCCCAGTGTGCTTCTCTGGTAATATCTGGGCTCCAAGCTGCCCACATGGCTCAGTGAGAAAACCAGGTGCTCCGCTGGAATGACTAGGATTCCCAGGTCAACTCGAAGACCAGGACAGCAGATGCCACACTGCTCAGAGACTCTCTTAAGCAGACTGGCTCTTGACTGGCTTGCCCATCCTGCAGGGAGGAAGCCTGAGCTACAGTAACAGTTCTACATTCAGAATGACAGGCCCAGGGGATGTGAGTCACCCATTTGTAGGAAGGGAAGCGTTGGGAACAGAACAGCATCCAAAACTTTTCCCATATTAGGTCCAAAGAAGGGAAAACTCTATCAACACAGGGCAAGGGTCAGTTTAACAGTAGGAAAAGTCACTTTCCAAATTGCTTGCCTCAGAGTCAGTAGATAGCCCCTTCTACTATGTTTTATTATTTTTACCTTTTTTTTTGAGACAAAAAATTTTTTGAGGTGGGTTTTCCATTGACTTCACCATCCACCTGTCTCAGCCTCCCAGTGCTTGAGCCACAATTATCTACCTTCCACTGACTTTTAAAGTAGTGCTGAAATAAAAACTCTGGAGATTTCAACATACTGGAAAGCAACATTTAAAGACAAAACTCAAGACTTGAAAAACCACAGCATCATCCTTAAGAAATAAACTTTGACATAGTAAAAGGCAATGTCAAACAGCAGTAACTTAAAGTGTAATATAAATTCAGGCCTTCAAAGGAGACCATGATTATTGACATAAAGGCTCTGGACCCACCACCATGCAATTAACCTCAAGCTA